TTGAGAAGAGGGAAACGAGAGAAAATGGGTAAAAATATTTGAAATATAAAATCACCTTTTTGTGCTGTCCAATATAATTTTAACCTTTTTTTTTTTTTTTTTTTAAGACTTCTCCTTCTTTTACGAAGTCAATGTTACTCAAGGTGTCTTTGCATTTTTCAAAGGAAAAGCAAAGACTCCAATATATAGGGATTCAATTATAGTTTAATTATCTATTTAAGAAATTCGATTATTATTTAAAATTGCTTCCTTTTGATATCTAGCCTTTCTATTTAGTTATTTCAAATAATAGGATATCCGTTTCAGACAAAATAGAAAAGCGAAGAAAGGAAATTAATGCTTCTAGATCACATTGAGAGACCAATGCACTTGAAAATTTCCAATGAAATTATAAAAATTCCTTTTCTCATTCTCATAAATGCATGTATAGAGGATGACAAGTCCTAAAATTAACTTCGGCATGACTAAAACGCAATTTCCAATGAGAGCAGACATTTGAGAGTAAGTTGTTCTGTTTACTAAAGATTCTAGCGCATGTTCCTAGATAATTCAAGACTTTATTTTCCTACTTAATAAAAGATTATAATCAATTTTGGACATATGGGGATGGGCACAAGAAGGGTAGACACTTATAGTTCTCTTTTTATCACAATTAAGGTACTTTTAGATAAATAATAACAAGTTCAACTCACTCATGTTTATAACAAAACGACGAATGTATTGACAGATAGTCTAACATCATACTTTATTTTCCTACTTATTGAAAAGATTAGAATCGATTTTGGACATCTGGGGATGGGTACAAAGAGGATAGGCACTTATAATTTTCTTATTACTACGATTAAAATGATTTTGGATAAAGAATAACAGATTCAACTCACTCATGTTTATAGAGAAGCGAATGGATTGACACATAGTTTAGCATCATATGTTTTTTTCTTACTTTTTGATATTACTTATCTTTCTCATTCACCAAGTGGCTATACCAAAATCCTTTATGAGAACATTTGGAAAATAACTCTTTAAGATTTTGTAATAGTTAATTTTAGTCTAGAGCTTGGGCTCTCCTTTTAATTAAAAAAAAAAAAAGATTGGAATCAATTTTGATTATATCTTATTATGGAAGCTTTGGGGCTTTATAAATAGGGGTATTGATCAGATGAACTTCATCATCACTTAGCTAGCCAATTTTTCTCTTGAGAGTTCTCTCTTTCTCTTGTGAATTCCTTACCATTTTCTTTTTGTCGATTTCAATGGCCAGCGAATCTAACTATTACAGGGTAAGTACATATATAAACGCAGGTGTGGGCTATCACAAGACAAAACTAGAAAATAAACTTTTTATTTGTTTTCGTCCCACGCGGATGCACAAACATACATTTTTGTCCTTCTTTTTTATTTTATTTTTCACTTCAATCTTTTTTCTTAAATAATTCTTAATAGATTATGCTAAGATCACTATTGGACGAAATCTATAGCATCCACCCAACAGTTTCAAAGAACAAACCAATAAACCTATCTTTGCAACTGAAAAAAAAAGTCCTCAGTAGGATTTTCTTCTCTTTTCCTTTAAAATCACAATCAGCAACCTGGTTCTATGCAATTGCATGCCTTTATACTTTAATGGGCTACTAACCTTTTTATGATACGCTAAATTGGACTTGGATCAGCCCAGTACCATAACGAACTGGTAATTTCCTACTCAGAGGCTAGCAATGAGAAAAGCTTCTCATCTCAAGCCAACATTCAAGTGCAAGATAAAAAAAAAATGGCAAAATCATTTTCTATCATAGCTAACCAATCCAGTATGTGTCAAATTTGATTAACTATTTATGGAGTTATTTAGTTGATTAAAATTGAAAAAAAAAAAGGCATGAAACTATCAATGAGAAAATTTAAAAATAAAAAATAAAGATCATATATTTAATATAATTATGAAATATCTTATTTGATTAAATCAAAATTTATTAAAATAATACTTTTCAATTTAATCCAAATAAAAAATGAGAAATATATAGAAATTAAAGTTTTCAAAATTTTAATTACTATATTGTATTTTTTTAGAATAATTATTTTATTGGTGATCATTCCAAAACATTAAAAAAAAATATTGAACAAGAAAAAATGTGGTATGATAAAAAATTTAAGAAATTAAATTTGGTCATAGGTAATAATAATAATAAAAAGATAAAAACAATTGAATATCCTAATACAAAAAGAGAGACTTTCTAGTTTTAGCTATATTTTATAGATATAAATGGAATCCCAAAATTTAATATCATTTATGAAAAATCTAATTAGGAATATTTTGGTGTATATAAGTAATAAAAATATATTATAGAGTGAAATTAACAAACTATGGAGTGAAATTAATAATTTTTAATATATACAAGGCAGAGCATGATTGGCTTAATTTCATTGTATAAAGGCAAAAGTTAAGCACTATAGAATTCCAGAGTAAATTAGTCCTCCTTGTTTAAAAAATTATTATTTAATTCTTTAATCAGTGATAATCGTGCTTAATTTAATATTATTTTTATTCCAAAAAATCTTTTATTTTCTCATCAATCTTTCCATATTTTTTTTCTTTTTCTATTTCTTAAAACAAAAAATCAAAATAAATTTAAAAAAGGACTAAATTATAAGTAGATTTCAAAATATGAGGACTAAATTATTGGTTTTTCTTCCAGTTTACTATTAGATTATATTGCATATTTTGTTTACATAATGAATTTTTTCAGTAGTTGAATAAAAAAAATATATAATTCTTTCTAACTGCTAATGTATTAGAATCATGACTATAAAACTTTATTTTTTTTAATTTAGCAACCACTCACACAGTTGGATTATTAACATTGTTTTATTTAAATAGAAAAAAAAAGCATCATAAATAAATGATTAGGCACCATTCACAATATTGAAATGAAATTCACAATGTCACATTAATGTGGTGTGGTTTTAATTGATATTTTCTATATTGCAAGCATTACAGTAAACAATCCAACTACTCATTAAAGTTAGAATTAATAAAAAGTAGATTTATGAAGTGAACATAAAAATGGAAATATTGGAAGAAACTAATGGATTAGCTGAAATAACAAATAATGGATATCTTAAATACTGATTTCCTTATGAGAAATTAATTAACAATTATATATTTATGAGATGATTGTATAAAAACGCACCTCATTTTCATTTAATAAATAGGCCAGCTTTACCATTAGCTCATTTTATTGAACATTTGTATGGCAATCAGGGTGTTGAGATTCTAGACATAATTCACAAGGATCCTCAACCCGCATGGCCTGTCTTGAGAATATATTTGCAGCAAAAATTCGAGGAGCTGATTCGAATTTTTCATCGGAAAAACTACCTTCTTTTAATCTAATCTCAATTTTCATCGGAAAAACTTTTTTTTTTTGCATGGGTTCTTCATTTTCCAATTTTTCTGGTAGAAAATTAAATGTTCTTCCTCTTCTAAGGGAGTGGAAAATTTTCCACACAGGCAATGTGATTCACATGGACCACCTTACGGAGACACGTTTTATAAGATGTCTTACATGCATGGTCACCACCAAAGGAATTTGCACATACACGTACTGAATCTGTTATGAAATTTGTAGAAGGTGGAAATTAATAATTACGTACTCTTATATTTATGACACCATTTATTATGCTAGATGACATGTTTTCGTCCAAGAGACTTGTGATTGGGCCAGTGATGTCCACCCCCAATGGTGTAGCTTGATGAGTAGATCAGTCTGAGATTATAAGAAAAACAATAAAATAGGAGAAACTTAGGTCTAGCAGATATTCCAGCAAGGTTGGGTTGTAATTCTATAATGTGCAGTTAGATGGGATGAAAGTGTCCACTGTCTAAGTTCAGCAATGAATTTGTAATCGAGATTAATGAATTATGATGACCAGTGCTGGGAATCTATGCTACAGAATTAAGATAATATTGCTTTAAAATTAAGATATTCTCAATAAATAAATAAATAACGTCATGTCTCTTTGTGGTGGATCAAGTTATATGTACCAAAAAAATCATTACCAAAATCTCTAAAATTAATATTTGTCATGAAGAAGGTATTTTAAGGCTTCTACTTAGTTAAACAAAAAAAAAAAAAATAGAACTTCAATTAAATATTATGCTCAACTTTTAAATGCTAAGTATTTCATGAGGTCCATTTAGTATTTATTAGAGAATAATATAAATTATATTATAAAATCTCATCTAATAATTTAAATTATTACATTGAAACGATATTAACAATAATAAATTTGAATCTCACCACCCTCACGCATTTTCTTTTAATTAAAATCAAATAATTAAGCATAAATAGTGATGAGTCTATACAAATTTTAAAGTTACGGAACTTTTACTTGAGCTATTAGATTTAAAAGGTTTTTTGACAATAAAACTATAGCTTAATTTGCCCATCTCTTTTTTTGTTTTAGTCGGGTATTTTTATCCCACATTACGGATAGAATTAATCATATTTAGGACAAGAGCGATAAAGTTTAATTACTCTCAATAAATACAATTCTAGAATTCGAATCCTAATAAAAAATTTCTTTGAAAATCAACTAGTTTACTACTAAACCAATATTGTATTGGAAACTTTATATACTTGGCATGGCATATTAAGGAGTAAATATATATATTTGCTTAACCACCAATATAAATAAATTCCCAACTACTAGAACCCTAGAATTACAAGTATTGGAATGCTATGGCGTATATATGAACAAACATTTGGTAAAAAAATCTTCAAAATTTAATGAAAGTAACCACTCTACCAATCTATTTGCCAATATTAGTAAAGTTTCCTTTACTACCTCAAACATAATATTTCTGACTGAGAACCGGTTGGCCCATAGTAAATATTTAATCCGTATCTCATAGTAAATATTTCTGATCAAACAATAATAACTCATCACAGTTGGTAGATCGAACTCATTTACTCACTCTCCTCTTGTTTTATATAGCCTTATTCATGTCCTTACCAGCACAGTACTCTTTAGTTCCTTCCTCAACAATGGAATTGATTGACCTCCTTATTCTTTGTCTAGCATTTATCTTTGCCCTTCTATGGTGGCGACATTGGTCCGTCACGGGCGGGGGGCCAAAGAATCTTCCTCCAGGGCCTCCAGGGTGGCCTCTTGTGGGCAACTTGTTCCAAATCATCCTCCAACGCCGTCCCTTCATCTATATCGTACGTGATTTACGTGCAAAATATGGTCCAATCTTCACCATGCAAATGGGGCAACGTACTCTTGTTATTGTCACCAGCTCTGAGCTCATACATGAAGCCCTGGTTCAGAGAGGCCCTACATTTGCTAGCCGGCCGGCTGACTCGCCGATCCGACTCGTCTTCAGCGTTGGTAAATGTGCTATCAACTCAGCCGAATATGGTCCTCTTTGGAGATCTCTACGCAAGAACTTTGTCACAGAGCTGATAAACCCCGTGAGAATCAAGCAGTGTAGTTGGATACGCCAATATGCTTTAGAGAACCACATGAAAAGGTTAGAATCCAAGGTGCTTGAAAATGGATTTGTTGAGGTCATGAGCAACTGTAGGCTCACTGTATGTAGCATCTTAATATGTCTTTGCTTTGGTGCAAGAATCTCTGAAGAAAGAATCAAGAACATCGAAGCTATATTAAAAGAGGTGATGTTAATGACAATGCCAAAGCTTCCGGATTTCTTGCCAATTCTTGCTCCTTTATTTCGCAAGCAAATGAAAGAAGCTAAAGAATTGAGAAAGAAACAGATGGAATGTTTGGTTCCATTGATTAGAACCAGAAGGGCCTTCGTGGAGAAAGGTGAGAACCCTGGTTTGGAAATGGTGAGTCCAGTTGGTGCAGCCTATATAGATTCTTTGTTCGACATGAAGCCTGCAAATAGAGGTCCACTAGGTGAGCAAGAATTTGTGACATTATGCTCTGAGGTGATCAGTGCCGGTACTGATACTAGTGCAACAACCATCGAATGGGCTCTACTTCACTTGGTACAAAATCAAGAAATCCAAGAGAAGCTATACAAAGAAATCATCGGATGTGTAGGCAAAAACGGGGTGGTCAGAGAAGAAGATACTGAGAAAATGCCTTATCTTGCTGCAATTGTTAAAGAAACTTTCAGGCGTCACCCACCAAGCCATTTTGTTCTATCCCATGCTGCTACTAAGGAGACTCACCTTGCTGGTTACACCATTCCAGCTGATGTTAGTGTTGAGTTTTACACTGCATGGGTGACTGAGGATCCGGATTTGTGGAAGGATCCGGATGAGTTTCGCCCCGAGAGGTTCTTGGACGGTGATGGGGTTGATGTGGATGTGACCGGGACTCGTGGGGTCAGGATGATTCCTTTTGGTGCCGGAAGGAGGATTTGTCCGGCATGGAGCCTTGGTATATTGCATGTTAATTTGCTGCTTGCTCGGATGGTGCATGCTTACAGGTGGTTGCCTTGCCCGGACGCCCCACCCGACCCGACTGAGACTTTTGCTTTCACTGTTGTGATGAAAAATCCTCTGAAAGCTGTGATATTGTCCAGGCAATTAGTTGGATAAATTTTAGTGGGGATTAGTCAAAGATGGTAATTTCATGCTTATGGAAAATTAATTATAGCTTAAGCTTCGCCATTATATTTGTTAAGAGCATTTTGACTATGAAATGTGTTGGTTTTTGTTTGAAAATTGAGAACTAATTCAATTTATTTTTATATAATATGTTGAGTTTAATTCGTCTATGCATTTATATTTGTATTTTATTTTTTTTTATCAATTTTTGATATTTTTGACTAAAATGTCTTTGACTGAAATATTTAAAGAAACATAGCCAACATGTTCTTTTTTTGGAAGTCTTTAATTATTATTATTATTATTATTTACAATTTAGTCAAAAGAATTTTGATTAAAAAAATTATTTATAGTCGAATTAATTTATGAAAATGATAGATTGAGACCAACAAATTGCTAATGCGGCGGTAAACAAGTTGATATTTAAACAAATTTTCTATTAATATGCAGAGTTTGAGTCTTAGAATTACATTTTTTAAGATGAATTAAATTTTATTATTTTCGTTTCAAATAGAATTAATCTTATCTCTCAAGCGAGATAAAAATACAAAGGTAAAACCAAAAACAAAAAAAATTGAAGATTTAAATATTATCTAAAGATACAATAAATATAATTAAAAATATATGAATAAATTAGAAACTCAAATTGTTATATAATAACAAAATAAATTATTTATTTTTTAAAATACGAAGGAATATGCCCTTTCGTATTCTAGCGAACTGGCCTTCATTTTTATTATTACATGATGAAAAAAAAAAAGGACACAGGTTATATACGGTCTCATACCATCTTTTCGGGAACAGCATATTTGTACGATAAGAATCCTATCATTTCGGGAACTGAAAATATTTATTGACATGACGTACATAATCTTGTTTAAAGAATTTTTAAAAAATTTTTAAATTTGAATTTTGAAATCAATATTTAGTAAAATTTATTATATCATTCTGTATACAGTGATAAAGCACAAGGTTTTGGTATTTTGCCGAAGAGAACTATATATATATATATATATTCAAATTGATTTTATAAATTTTATAATATAAAAATAAAAACATGGAAATACAGATTCGAATTATTAAAACTAAATAAATGTAGAAAAAATTTAATTGAAAGTGGTACACTTATAAAAAGAGTTTTGCACGTTATGTAGTACATGTATTTTTGAAGTTTTTTTATTAAAATTTCGTACTCTTTCAATTGTTTTATTGAGTTTTTTTTAATTAAAATCTCGCGTATAACACGTGTTATGTATTTAAAAATTGACGTATCATTTTATTTTAACAAAATAAAAAATTCAATGAATATGAAATTTTTTTTGAGTCTATGTTAAAGACCTAACAAAATGGTCCGTCAAATACCTAGCAAAAAAAGAAAAAAAAACCATAATGTGGTAATCCGTAAGCAAATAAATATTAACTTTTAAGTTAGATTTAAAAATTCAATGAATATGAAAAAAAATTTCAAGTCTATATGAAAGACCTAACAAAATGATCAGTCAAATACCTAATAAAAAAAAAATAAATAAATCACAACGTGGGGACTCGTTACTAAGTAAATGTTAATTTATAGGTTAGGTTTAGAAATTCTATCCTTATAACTTGTATTTTTAAAAATTTATTTTTAAAATATTAAATATTATGTATTGAAGAATATTTTTTAATCATATTCAAAAAGATATTAATGTTAATGTACGTAAAAACTGATCAAAGTCATACTTATTGCCGAAAACAAAAGGGAAAAAGAAAAACAAAACCCAACAGAATTACATGTGATATGTATACAAATCTTTTTTTCGTGTCAATGGGCCATTTCATTAAGTAAATACTAAATGCTACGAGCCACTGTCACTCTTCGAGCCCCGGGATTGCAGCAGCTCTTTTCTGTCCTGGAACTCCGTCAGTGTCTGAACGTATTTGACCGACCTAGAAGATATATGTTTAATATTTTTTGAAAAGTAGATTTAATTTTTTTAAAAAATAAAAATAAAAACTTGATCCCGAATTCATAAATTCATGATCTTAGGGATGCTGATTTTTAGCCCATGCTTCTGGGTCTTCTGTGAAAGAGCAGAAAAGTAATTAAAATTTGAATTTTTAACTTTGAAAAAGCATAAAGTCATTGCTAACAAAATTAATAGTCCTGCACCATGACAACAGGATATGAATCCACGGTGCATCTGCCACCTTCAGAGCAAGCAAATTTATGGGGCTAGCTGCTAGCCTGAGCTGTGTGTGCTGATGATACCCCTTAGGGTTCCACATTATCATTTTCAAAATCCCAAAAAAGTCACGAAAGAATGTTGTTTTCTATAACAATAAAAAGCCTCATATTAATTACAAATGTTTTGCCTCTTATTAAGAATAGAGGCACTGTCACCAGGCAGCCGGATTGCATGCTTTTAAAGAAACAAAATTATTGAATTCAAATTGAATGATCATATTATAAAAATAAAAATAACTTACCGTCTTGTATATTATTTTATTTCTTTCATTTAATCTTAATTATCGAATTGAAATTCAATAATAAGATATGAACTTGACGGGTCTATTTCTTAGTATTAGATTGAGCATAAATTAAGAGAGAAATAGAAAGAAATTCCAATCACTGCACAGATTAATTCCGAGTATACCTAATACTTAACTAAAAAAACTTAATTATTCATAAATAACTTGACCATTTAACTTTATAAATAAATAAAACAAGAAAAAAAGAAGCTGCTAGACCGTATCCATGAAGTAATTTACATGTAAGATCTATTTTATGGGTTATCTTAGAAAAAATTATTAATATGTCATGAAGTTAAACGATATATATACGAGTAATAAGGTTTGAATTCATGATCATTTTATCATTTAAGATTAAATAATATATATAAAAAAATTATTTAAAACTAAATGTTTAAATTATTAAATAAAATATTGAGATAAGATTTATATTGATATCTAACAGTGGCATTCTTTGGGAGAATAACTTGGAAGCTAATCTTGGGAAATTTCGAACATCTTATATGATGTCATTTCAAACAAATGCAGCTTACGTACCATAAACTTGTAGTGGTATCATCTTACGAGAAGTGAGGAAGTGATGACATTTGCACCAATAACTAGCCCAGAATTTCATTTCAATGATATTGTTCATAGCCAATTAGGGTTGTCATGCATCAACATTGGAGGGTGGTTGAAGCTCAACAGTCAAAATCTATACCTTCAGTATCATTAATGCCGAGTCTGTGCTATCTGCGATATTCAGTCCTCCTCAAGCAATTTTTTACTCAAGAAAAATGAATCCATTGGTTCTCTCGATGAAAACCACCATCAATTGCCCTTTAATGCAATGTGGTGAAAATAACTAGGGGCGGCATTGAAGAACTAAAAGCTACAAATAATTAATGTTTTTTTTATGCTTTTCAACGCAAAGATAATATTAAGATGCAATGGTAATGGTAATTGTTAAGATGTGAATGTTGATATGAATTGATATTTATAGTATAAAACACTGTATAAATATAGCATGATGATCTTATTAGTCGATAAACAAACGAAGGTCAAGAAGATAGGGCCTTTTGTCTCTGAGTAGGAAAGGCAATGTACTCGCTCCTGTTCTGCCATTGAAAATTTTGCTTCGTTCTTGCCGCATGTCTTGCGTGAGGTAATATTTTACATATCATCTCAGCTCTAAACAAAGACGAGGATCTTCGCAAGATACTGACATCTTATTTAATTTTTTATTTTTATCATATTCATTCTCATTCTATTATCAAATTTCAAATTATATAAAAAAATAATAGTTTATATAGAAAATAAATTCTAAAGTCGGTAGTCACATATTTTATATAGAGTATAATTGTAATTTTAGGAATGGAGCGAGGCGGACGGGCAAATATCATTCCCGTCTTATCCCCATTCAAAATAAATACGAAGTGGGGTGTCTCGTCCTGTTCCCCAATCAAGTTGGGGAATCCCACGTTAATCGAGGTGAGATAAATTATCATCCTTATTTCGAGCCTCCGAAAGATCTACAAAATATTTGACCATATATATAAACCCATTAAGCCTTCTTTCTTACAATCCTAGTTATCTATACTATAAATAAAAATAATATCATTTGTATTTTTAGTTGCTAGTTGATCAAATTTAATAAGAAATCTTAGGGCAATCGTAGAACGGACATCATTATCGAACCACGTAAAAATTTTATATTATGTGATTGTTTTTTTTTACTCGTTTTTTTGCTTGGTTCGTTTCTTAATAATAATTGGCATGCATACCATGATACTAAAAATTTCATGATCTAATTTATTAATAAGTCTGTCGTTATGTTAAAAAGAGAAATATGTTGATGATGTTAATTAGATGTACATGTTATGATGTTTATATATTGATTATGATGTTAGTAAATCTATCTTCATATAGTATTGTTAGACTTATATCCTATAGCTATGTTAAATAATAGTTCGATTTTTGTATTTTTTGAATTGTTTTGATTAAATTTTTTTTATTAAAACCTCATGTATTTAAAAATATAACATGCTACACTAATTCACCGACGAATGACATTATAATGAAAAGACGGTGATAAAATAAAGTGAAGAATAGAAAAATTCACACATCATTATAATGTAATTTTTTTTTTAATCTTAATTGGGTTTGCATGACTTAGAGAGATTCAATATCTAAACATTCAAGAATTAGAACAATAGGAAAGTTCCATTTTAAAGCATTTTAGTTTTTTTTTCTATATTACTTACAACACATATATATATATATATATATATATATATATATATATATATCCCATCTGTTACAATGAAATCATCATCATTTTTTACTTTTTATATAATTTTTGTAAATAATAATTATTATATTATATCAATATTTTTATTTTTATTTTGAAAATATTTTTTTATTAAATCATTAGTTGTCAAATTTAATTTTGCATTACATGAAAAAATTATTAATTTAAAGAGAAGATCTATCTAAAATCAAAGTAAATCAAAGAAAAAATTATTAAGTTAATTAATAATTAAATTTAAAATAATTATAAAAATAATATATTAATAAAAATATGTTACAAGCAGTAAAATCTTTACAAGAATGTGTGTCGATTGCTTTTTTTTTCCTTAATAGTTAAACATTTGAAAGGAGGAAAAAAAGATAACATATTCATTTAATTTTTTTTTGTTAATTATCACATCATCACTGTATGAAAAAATTGGATGAAAAACTTAATTGCTATTTTCAAAAAAATTATCAAACTACAAAAAATAAAATTTAATATATTCGAATGAAAATTTATTTAAAATTAATATACTTACCTAGTTTTACCGTTGAAACCATCGATACCAGTCAAAGTTTGGTGAGTCAATTAATGCTGAATTGTTCGATTCTTTTTGATAAATTCTACAAGAATGCGTGCCGGGTGCTTTATCTGCTTTTTTTTTTTTTGATAAATTCTACTTTTCTTTGGTTTTGACCTTTTTGTTTTTCATTTCTATTATTGTTCGATTCTTCCCCTCGATCTCAAGAAAAGGTCTAGATCTATTGTTCCATTCAATTAAAATTTTAAATAAATCGAATAGGATATATTTTTTCTTTTTGGTTTAAAACACATCCGTATGATTATATTAAATGCTTATTTAACAATGTTTAATTATTTTTAATTTATTTTTTCTTTTAATTTCACACATCCTTAATATTATGTAAATAATCATATCAAATGTTTCATGTTTATTATAATATATGAAAAATAACTTATTCGCTCTTAATCTTTTTCATCTTAATTTAAATTTTTATGCATCTTTTTTCATAATTTTTTTAATATTTAAAATTCTTTTTCGACTTATGAAAACCTTCCTTAAATATCATTTAAACTTTGCTGTTAAGCCTCAATTTGTTTGTTTGCCTTTTTTATTAAATATTATTTTTAAGTCTCACAGGACAATTTTGATGGGATTTGAATATGTAGGGATAAAAGAAAAGCCTATTGAATTGATTGGAATGAGATGACAATGCCAAAGGGGAATAAGGTTTAATGGGTTTTCATGACTCGGAGAGATTAAATATCTCCTTACTCGCATAAATGGCACATTATGAATCTTATATCTAAACATTCACGAGTTAGAATAACAGGAAAAGTTCCATTTTAAGGCATTTTAGTTATTTTTTTCTTTATTATTTACAACATATATTTGAATTTTTCTATATATATATATATATATTCTATCTTTTACAATGAAAATGTTATTTTTAACTTTTTATATGATTTAAAAAAATATTAATTATTATATTATATCAGTAGTTTTATTTATATTTTTAAAATATTTTTTTTGTTAAAATTGTTAGTTATCAAATTTAATATTGTATTATATGAAAAAATTATTAATTTAAAGAGAAAATTTATCTAAAATTAAAGTAAATTAAAGAAAAAATCATTAAGTTAATTAATAATAAAATTTAAAATAATTATAAAAAATAATATATTAATGAAAATATTTTACTATTGGCAACAGTAAAATCTTTACAAGAATGTGTACCAACTGCTTTGTTTTTTTTTTAATAGTTAAACAACAGTAGAAAAAAAATAATGTAGCCTTTTCTGTTGACTATCACTTGGTCATTATAGAAAAAATTAGATAAAAAAACTTGATATAAAAAAAAGACTTGATATATCAAAATAAAAAAAAATAAAATTTCACGTACTCCATGGATAAATGATTGAAAACTAATATATTTATTATATAGTTTTTCTGTTGAAACAATTGACGCCAGTCTAATCAATTAATGCTGAAATATCATATCAACTTCTTTTCTTGGGACAACCAGCGAGGATTGAAAAAATGTGGACATGGTAAACCTAACTTTACCTTTTATTCATCATGGTGTCATAAATGTGTCCATGAATAAAAAAAAACTAGTAGTACCATGAAAAATCCTGTGGTTAATTCACATGACGAGACGGTAAAAAAAAAATATATAGTTAGAATAGTTGAACTTTGTAGAAATATTAGAAGATAATGTTATTCCGGCTCCATGAATTGTTAATGTCACTTTTTATATATTACAAATTTTATCAGTAGACTATGATATGATATCCTTTGTTTTTAATATAAAAATGAAATATTAATTGCATCAGCTTCCTTTTTATACATTCAAATTATATTGTAATATTAATTTTCAATAGTTATTATAATTCAAAATTAATCCAAATGAAAAACAATAAATATTTTTAGAATAAATATACCTATATATTCTTATATATACTTAGAGTCTTTTATATGTCTCTACGTTTCTAATTGCATCTCATTTGTTTCTAAAAGTATTCAAAATGTTCAATATATCATTTCATCAATTTTTTTGACTGAATGAATTTTGTTTTACCAATATATTTCTGATTAAAATGCAAAAATAAATAAACAAGTAAAAAAATTCTAAAGATTTAAAAAATAGAACATGTAGGTTATGTGACTTTAAATTTATTTTTTTATATCTTAATAAATAGTGTTGTGATTAAAAAAATTGATTGTTGAAAAATTTGATCGAATGATTAAATATCTTAGAAATTTTAAAACATATGAGATTAAATATCTTAAAAAATTTTAAAAACATATGAGATGTAATTAAAAAACTAGAAACTTATGATAGACTTTGAATATTATATAAAAAAAATTGATATATTTACTTATATTTTCATGACAAGAAAATGGAGGAAAAAAAGGTATTATAGAGTAATCTTCGTTTAGAGAGACCGACCCCGCAATTCTTGAATTTATCCATTTGTTAGCAGGCATTATTAAAATCAAATATTTTATCTAGATTTCTTTTATTTTATTTTTCTAAAGTATGCTTCATAATTACTTCTCAACAGCTAAATAATGCTTTCTCGTCAAAATAAACTAAATACTTCAAAGTAAAATGTGTAAAATCTCACTTTGAAGGCTTTTAAACTTACTTAGTAAGTAGATTTATAAATCATGTTATTAATTAGAATTCAAATATTAAAAAAAGTCATAAGAGAAATAATTTTTTATCAATGCACGTGGACGATCCACTCAAAACTAACTAGAAATAAATTTAATATGGATATACAAAAATTACTCCAAAATACCCTCGATAAGAAAAATCTCCAACTAATGCTTTCTCGTATAAAATTAATTATATGTTAATCTACGTATTTTTTTTAATCATAATTTATGTGAGGAGTAAATTATAAATTAGTCCCTCTAGTTTCAAGAAACAAATTAATTAGTCTCTCTCATTTCTAAAAAATATTATTTAGTTCTTTAATTAGCGTTGAACATGCTTAATTTAATATTATTTTTAATCCATAAAATCTCTTATTTTTCCATGAATCTTTTCATATTTTTTTATATTTTTTCTTTTTCTATTTCTTGAAACAAAAATTCAAAATAAATTTAAAAAAGAGAAAAAAGAACTAAATTACAATTAGATTTCAACATATAAAAATTAAATGATTAGTTTTTGAAATAAAAAGAACTAATTAATTTATTTTTCAAAACAAGAGAGAATAATTTATAATTTACTCTTTATGTGAGTGATGCAACTGGATAATTTATCTTTCCCCTCCCCGCCCCCCCCCAACCAATATTTTCATGGACTTGGGCTTGTAACCCAATGAAAAGGCTGTAGGAGATTTGAATGGGCTATTTTAGAGCCATTTCAGTTTTGGTCTAGACTGAATTCTTTTACATGGGCTATTAGTGATTGGAAAGAGATTACAAAGGAGAAAGGGCAAACCCTAAGAAAAAGCCCTCCAGGCATTTTTTCAGTCTCAATTGTACCCCCCAAACAATTTTTATCTTAATTTTACTTCCAAACTCTTATAAATTCTCAATTAAAGGCTTCCATCCATTTTTAAGAACTTTTCTTTAGGGTTGAACACTATTCGATTTAAACTGAAAAACTAAATCGGAATATTGATTTTGGTTTGGCTTTTAACTAAAAAAATAGATTTGTTTTTGTTTTTTTGAATTGGTTTAAATCAAAAATCAAATTTTTTATCTGATTTTTTTATTTTTAAAATAATACAGACTAATTAAAATATACAATACCTTAATATTATTATAGATATAAGATGGATTTATGATGTTTTTCATCTATTTATATTATTTTAAAAAACCAAAAAACTAAATGATCACCCCTGCTTCCCACCCATATCTACATCTAAACTATATTTTTTAAAGAAAAAATGTCATTTTATAGAGAATTTATTGTTTTTCGATAATAATGTTAACAAAAATTTTAATTGAAAAATCAAAATAGATAAAATTGATAAAAAAAAATAGTTTAAGGTCAAAATAGGTACTAGCCCAAACTATTCGGGGTATATTTGAGGTTTAACCAAAAGAAAAGACAAAAAGGACATGGCATTTGACCCCAGTTCAGAAAATCATCAATCAGTAGTCATTCAAGTCAGTTGCCAAAAGAAAGTCAGTCTAGCAATTATTTCAGAACAGCAGTGGAAAGCCGCAACAAACAAGCACAGAAGCAGAAAAATGGAGTGGTGGGTATCCATGCCAAAGATTGAACTTCATGCCCACCTCAATGGTTCCATCAGAGACTCAACACTTTTGTATGCTCTCACACCCCTTTTCTTTTCTTTTTAAGTTATTGCTTTAGGAATGTGTTTGTGGGTGCTAAGTAAAATCTTTTCTTTTGTGTTGGTTAATGCAAAGTTAAGTTCTTTTGTAGTTTTTTCTTGATGTTCTATAACTAAAAGAGGAAAGGAGGAAGTTGGATTTAGATTTAAAAATTTTATCTTTAATGTCTCTGTCTTGAATTGTAGATTGATGATGCATTTTTGGTAGTTTATTAGCAATTTATTGATGTATTTATGCGTTTTTGATAATGCAGAGAGCTTGCTAGAGTTTTGGGTGAAAAGGGTATCATTGTTTTCTCAGATGTGGAGCATGTTATCATGAAAAGTATGTTCTTTTTCATGTTTTGGGGTTGTTTTTGTGTTTGGTTGCTGAGAAAGTTTTGGAAAGAAGAGTAGTTTAAGAGTTTTAAATTTCGATCGTTTCTTCGTGTCCGATAAGGAAAAACCTTGAGCAAATTGTAGCACTTGTGATTATATGGATTTATTATTAAGTTGGACTATCCTTCTTCATATGCCAATGAAACCCTTTTCATGCAGGCTAATTCTTCTAATAATCCATTTATATTTTTCTCTATTCAATTCTTGAAATGATTGATATTGGGAACTTTCGATTTGCTTTTATCCAGATGACCGTTCTTTGGGTGAAGTATTCAAATTGTTTGACCTGATTCACATCCTCACCACTGATCACAAAACTGTGACCAGAATCACAAAAGAAGTATGACAACTTACTATTTCATTTATTTCATTTTTTTAAAAAATCTCAAATTTTTCTGCGTTGCTTATTTAATTTTTCATAGAACAGGTGGTAGAAGATTTCGCTTCTGAGAATGTTGTGTATATAGAGTTGAGAACAACTCCAAAGGTAATTGAGTTTTTAAGGTTTCCGTTTATTAAATTGGTTTATTTTGTCGGGTCAAAGCTCTGTGTTTTGTTTTTATTGATGAAGGAATTTTTGGTTTCATGTTGTCCAGAAAAATGATTCTATAGGAATGAGCAAGCGCTCTTATATGGAAGCTGTGGTAGAAGGTTTAAGGGCTGTTACTTCAGTAGATGTAGATTTTGTTCCTCATAATTTCAGCACTCAAGATTCGTTGAATCCTATTGTCATGAATGATGCATGTGATGGAACTAAAAGGAAAAAGATATATGTGAGACTTCTTCTCAGCATTGATCGTCGTGAGACCACTGAAGCTGCTATGGAAACTGTAAGGATGTTTATGAGCTACTAAAATTATGAACTGGGTAAGGCTTCTAACCGTCATTCCTCCTGTTGTTTCTTGTTTACAGGTTAAGCTTGCACTAGAACTGAGGGATTTAGGGGTTGTTGGTATTGACCTTTCTGGAAATCCTGTTGTGGGTGAATGGTACTTCCATACTGATAAAAATTCTTTATTAGCTGATAAAATGTCAGTCCTTTTAAAGGGATGGAAATCTCAAATCCTCTTTTCATCTAACTCAGGAATACATTCTTGCCAGCACTAACATTTGCCCAGGAACAGGGTCTTTACATAACTCTACACTGTGGAGAGGTATGTTTGCATTTCTAATGCTTGGCGCTGTTTCTAAGATCGAATTTTCTGTTATTAGTGAGTCTTACTGGTTATTTTTGACTTAGTGCTTGTAGGTACCTAATCGCAAGGAGGTCCTACCAATGCTAGACTTTCTCCCCCAAAGGATTGGCCATGCAATATTCTTTGAAGAGGAAGAATGGAGACAATTAAAAACATCTAAAATACCGGTTGGATATCCATAAACATTTTTTCCCAATGAACTAAAGCTTCTTGTTACTTCCATAAGCTGACCTGTTTTCTTTTATCATCTGCAACAAAGGGCATATAACACTGGAGGCCAAATTGCTTTAAACGTTAAACTTCTTTGTTATTGTTCTTAAACAATCTTTTGCAGGTTGAGATCTGTTTGACATCCAACATCAAGACTGAATCGATCTCTTCAATCGATATTCACCATTTTGGTTAGTCTTCCGCTTCTATTTTATCCATTTAAATTTCCAACTGGTGATCAAATTTATATATGTTCACTTGACTACCTCTCTAAGCAAGCCAGTGAAACTTTTATTGTGGGCATTATTAACCACCCTTGCGCTTTCAGCATCTCCGGTCTATTTTTTTTCACTTTCTGCTTTGCAATGCAGTTGATTTATACAATGCTAAACATCCTCTGGTCTTGTGCACTGATGATGCTGGAGTTTTTTCCACCAGTCTTTCTAACGAGTATAATATTGCTTCAGCTGCATTTGGTAAGTATAAATAACATTCATAGTGCCTGTGACAAACTAGATAAAGTAGTTTTTATCATTTTTTTGGGAAGATCATGTATCTAACCACTACTGATTGTATGTTTCTATCGTCAAATATGAAGGTCTTGGAAAGAGGGAAATGTTTGAGCTTGCACAAAATGGGATAGATTTTATATTTGCTGGTGATGAAGTCAAGCAGGATTTAGTGGAGATTTTTGATTTGGCAGCAAAGAAACTAAATCTATGATTAGGCATATGGTGGAGCACAAGTACCCCTGGTAGTATGTCATAGCTATTTTAGTGAAATTGTTGATGAGGTTTGAGCTACAGAGAACTTTATTTGTTGCTTGAGACCTATTGATCACATTGATATTGGACTTTGCAGATATCTTCTCAGTTCATCTCATTCAGTAGTTAACCCCCCTCCTTATATGATTTTTAGATTGGAAGTTGGTCTATCCATAATGTTGAACACGTACCTATTTGTATTTGTAACTCAGGCTTTCTTAGCGTTCAGCAAGTAAACAATGGCCACTCAGAATCAAATTTGAAAATCCCAGAATTGGTTAGGATGATAGTTTCTGCTGACAGCGTTTCATGCATCTATTGTTTTTCAACATTCTCACCATTATAATTCCTTCTGCATCAATTTTGATTGGCAACCACTGGCTACCGATTCCCACCATTGCCTTTGTATATCCTTCGTTATCCTCATTTCCATGTTTTCCTTAAGATTGTTTGAGCTTGTTTTTTCATATCAAAGGAAGATCGCATATTTTTCATGACTAATCTTATTTTGAGACCACAGTCATGTTGGTCGTCGTCCCATTCTTTAAGGTATTCATTAACAATTCTCGATCCTGATAATCTTGTTATAAAGCAAAATGAACTTTGTAAATGCATTTGAAGCAAAACCCAGAAAGGGATGGAACAGCATAAATGGGGCTTGGATGCTGGATTGCCAATCAACATGTTCATGGTGGTAGGTGGCATGGCAGAACTAGTCCTTGCCATTGTCCGGATACACTTCTCTTTCTGTCTCTGGACTTGGTCAAGTAGACCTTGTACCTAACTTTGACACCAAAGCTGGCCTCTTTAGAGGGGAAAAAATGGTCAATGTTAGATTAGTATTCTTTCAAGCTCTTCAAGAGGATTATTTACTCTCGTAAAAGAAGGTTCTTTTGAGGATTTGGACGCAATCGAAAAAATTATTTTCTCCTCTCCATTAATTCTATGCTTCAACCGTAGCCCTCTCTCTCTTTCGAGTAAACTTTTCCCTACAGTGCCAATTATAAATTATTCAGTATATTTAGAGTTGTACTATGCTATTTCATATGAAAATAGAACTCACGAACAAATTCTATAAAATTATGTAAGAGAAAGGAGTGTAACTCTGAGGGTGGTTTGATTGTCGGAGATGACAGGTTCGAAATGATAATGTAGGAATAAGAATGAAAATTAAAAAATCGAACCACGTTAGAAAATTAGAACGATATTTGCATTCTCATACCGAGTTTGGAATATTAATAAGGAATCAAAATAAAATTTAATTTTTTTAATATATAGTTTTTAATACAAATAAAAATAATAATTAAAAAAATAATTTTATCAAATATGATGATAATAAAAATAATAGAGATAATTGTAGTAGTTGTAGTGATAATGGTGTTGGAGTAGAATGAAAATGAAGAAGAAATTGTAGTAATAACACTATAGTAATAATAATAATATATTTTTAAAAAAATTGATATTATCATCATAGAAGGTGACGAGTGGAAGAAGAGCGGTGACGGTAATAGTGATGATGGTAGTAGGCGATGAGGAACGATGATAGAATAATCGTAATAATTTTTATTTTTTTTATTACTACCGTCAATAGAGATGCCGATGGTGATGGTGGTAGTAGTAGTGTTAGAAATAGTTAATGCACAATACATAAAAATAATATATAATTATTTTGAGAAAAAAATTATTCATATTTCTTGTTTTTATTCCCACATTCCACACAAAAATAAAGCTAGGTGTAATTTTTATTCTCATTCTCACTCTTTATTTCTATTCCTACATCATTTTTTTCAACCAAACAACTATAGGACGAAAATAAAATTTTTCTTCTCATTTTCATCACTTCATTCCTACCTCGTTTATTTCAAACAAACAAATTTAAAAAAAAAAAGAAAATCTTTTTAATGTATTAGTCAAAGCATGAAAGATTCAGTCCAATAAAAAGATAAATTTAATTCTGACACATACAAGTTTGTTTAAATTAACAACATCACTTAAATTTTTTAGACTTAACCTAATTGATGAGTGAGTAATGCCTTTCTTAGTTCAAAGTAAATTATAAATTAATCTCTCATTGTTTGAAAAACAAATTAATTAATCTCTTTTACATTAAAAATTAACTATTTAGTCGGTTACATTTTAATTTCGTTAATAACTTAATATTTTCATCATTTTTTTGGTTAAATTAATAATTTTTTTCCAAATTTTCTTTATTTTGATGTCATATTTACCTACTAATTTTCTCTCTTCTCAACTAAAAATTAAAGAAAGGGTAATTTGAAAAAAATAACCTTTTAATTTCGTCAATAACTTAATCTTTTCATTATTTTTTTTAAATTAGTTATTTTTTCAAATTACTCTAGTTTTGATGTCTTATTTCTTTCATTTACTTACTATTTTTCTCTATTTTCAATCAAAAATTAAAAGAAGAGTACTTTGAAAAAAAAAAAACTAATCCAATAAAAAACAGATGAAAAATTAAGTTATTTATGGATTTATAACATCATGATTAAATGATTAGTTTTTGAAGGAAAGAAAACTAATTAATTCGTTTTTCTAAACAAAAAGTGATTAATTTATAATTTACAAATAAAATATTCTTTTTTATAAATACAATAATTCGAATTTGGATAGTATTCTTAAAATCCGATTGAAAAAACTTTCAGTTCTCGTGAAAAAAAGTTAACACGAGGAAGCCTCTTAGACAAAACAAAACGACGCCGTTTGAGCAGTTTAAGCCCATCAGAACTGAAATCACAACATCCTTATTACCGTAACAAGAAGAAGAGGGAGAACGAGAAGAGGAAACGAAAACTCTTCTTCCTCGCTACAATTCCGTTTCTCATTTCTTCTCTCTCTAAGAAACTCCGGCCATTAGACGATAATCCTGCAATGTTACTCACTCGCATCGAGATCATGATCACAGCCACTTCATAACCTCCTGATCAAAGCAACCAGATCACGACAATGTTTAGCTGGAAACGTCCATTAGAGATTTTTCGTTTAACACTCAATTACGGAACCGAAGATTTCGGGGAGGAACTGAACCGTTCCTCCACCTCATCCTCCACATGCTCCTCCTCCTCTTCCACCATAATAACACCGTCATCTTCGCCGGCGGAGATTGCAACGGAGGCTGCAGCGGATGATGAGGAGCAGGTAGGGTTTAGAATTGAATTGGATTGGAATGCAGGGGATGATGAGGATCAGGTGGCGTTGAGGTTACAGTCGCAGTTAATGGTTGCCTTGCCTGCGCCGCAGGATTGTGTGACGGTGGATTTGAAGGCGGAGGAAGAGGAGGAGGAGGGAAGAGTGAAGGTGGGGATGAAGGTGGAGAAGAAGAGAGAGGAATTGAGAGGGGTGGTATTAGGCAAGAGTGGATCAGGTCAACAGAGTGATGGAGCTGGTGTATTAACTCGGCTGTTTAGATCTGATGGTGGTAGGCATTGGAAGAGTGTTACTTTGCTTAGTGTTTGCGGTTGTGGATTGTTGGTGAGGACTTAAAGATTTGGTATTTTTATGTTGGTTTTTGTTAGTGATGAAGTGAATTTTTGAATAATAAGTAAGAAACAAAGACTTTGTGATAGGGATTAATAATGAATAGGCGAATGCTTGATGGATTTCCGTTCACTTTCTTGTTAGTTTGTTTAAAGAATGGTATGTTGATGTTAATTTTTTTCCCTGTTGAATGATGAGAAAATGTGGGTTTGGATTATTAGGAATGTTGATGTTAGAAATGAAAAAAAAAACTCAGTTAAGCTTTTTTCTAAAGATTATGCTGTTTTCTTTGTTTAGGGTCTTTTGAATTTGATGTTGGGGTTTTGCTTTTTATATTTTGTTTGAGTGTTTCATGTAAAAGTTGGAACTTTATGTCGGTCTTTTGCCTTTGGAAGATCTGTTGTGGTAGTATTTAATTGTAAATAGGTGAATGCATGATGATTTTTCTTTTCATTTTTATGGCAGTTTTGTTAAAAGTTGTACTTCTTTTTTTCAGTGGTAATTTTGCTCTTTTTTTTTCCCCTTGGGATTGAGGTTTAGTTGTCGTAAATTTTGATCTTTTTGGCTCTTGCTTGAATCTTGTGAAAATGTGGTTTTGCATCGGTAGGATGAATACCATAAAGTAGAAGTTTTTATTAGGCTGAATTTAAAGATATTGCTTGGTTTTGAGCCCTTTATGTCTGATCTAGTGGTATAAATAATATGTGATTCTTGCGTTACTATTATTGTTTAACCCTGCCGTCACGGGATATTGTTTAGTGCTCACCTGGTTTATCACTAGTTAGTTGGTGCTTTCTCATAAAAATCTTTACTGCGAGTAAAATTAAATGAGCCATACAACTACTCTTATAAGCTCAGTGCTTAAAGCTAGGTGTGTTTCACAGATCAGATTGTAGGTTTTGCTTCTTACTTGTATTGTATGTAATTGGAGTCAGGATTTCATGTGCAGACATTGCCTGCTGAAATAGTTCAATTGCCAAATCTTGAGAAGCTTTATCTTGATAACAATAGGCTTTCAGTTTTGCCGCCTGAGCTTGGTGAGTTGAAGAGTTTGAAAATTCTCGCTGTTGATTACAACATGCTAGTTTCAGTTCCTGGTAAGAATCTGATCACAATATGCATGTAATTTGCCTCATCTGATAGCATTTATTTCTTAGAGAACAAACATATAAGGATTATGGAAGTGTTGGTTATTTATGTCTTATTTAACTTATTTGTTTGTGTGATCTTGGTCGGAATTCTGAGCAGTTGAACTGGGGCAGTGTGTTGAACTTGTGGAATTGTCTTTGGAACACAATAAGATTGTCCGACCTCTTCTTGATTTCAGGTCATTTTATCAGCAAATTAGTATACTTAGTTGCACTTTTCCTGTTTGATGAAGCTTGAAAAGCTACAATTTGCTTCTGGCCTAATGTTTGTCTCCAGTTGAATGGCAGGGCTATGGCTGAGTTACAAATTCTCAGGCTATTTGGTAACCCTCTGGAATACCTTCCTGAAATTTTACCTCTACACAAACTACGACATCTGTCTCTTGCTAATATCAGGATTGAGGCTGATGAAAGTTTGCGATCAGTGAATGTTCAGATAGAGGTAGTGGCCATATGGCAACTATAATTTATTTTTTCCTGTATGCCTTTTGAGTTGGTTTAGTTTATTTATTTATCTTTTTTGGTTATCGCAGACAGAGAACAGTTCTTATTTTGGTGCATCTAGACACAAGCTCAGTGCCTTCTTCTCTCTCATATTCCGTTTTTCTTCTTGTCATCATCCTTTGCTGGCATCTGCGCTGGCAAAGATAATGCAAGACCAAGGAAACCGTGTAGTTGTTGGGAAAGATATTAATGCAGTACGGCAGCTTATTAGTATGATGAGTAGTGACAACTGTCATGTGGTATGTTGACGATCCTTGTTATCAAGAATGGAACCTTGGTTGTTTGTCTGTTCATCTACACACTTCTTATAGTTTTGAGTTCTTCCAGGTTAAACAAGCATGCTCTGCTCTATCTGCTCTTGCTGGAGATGTTTCTGTGGCAGTGCAGTTGATGAAATCTGACATATTGCAACCCATTGAAACAGTACTGAAATCGGTTGCTCAGGAGGAAGTAATTTCTGTGCTGCAAGTTGTGGCTATCTTGGCCTTTTCATCTGATACTGTATCTCAGAAGCTGTTGACTAGGGATATGTTGAGATCATTAAAAATGTTATGTGCTCATAAAAATCCAGAGGCAAGTTCCCTTCTATCTTGTTTGATATACAACTGGTTTTTGTTGCTTCTGTACAATGCTGCAGGAAATTTAGTACTGGATTCATCTTTCACCAGGTGCAAAGGTTAGCTTTATTAGCAGTTGGAAATTTGGCCTTCTGCTTGGAGAATCGACGTCTTCTGGTCACCTCTGAAAGTCTGCAGGACCTTCTGTTGCACATGACAGTTTCATCTGAACCACGTGTGAATAAAGCAGCAGCTCGTGCTTTGGCAATTCTTGGTTTGTATCTTGGATTTTTCTTAATCCTTTTCATCGTATTTTGAGTTTGTTTCGCAAAACATTATTACAAGGGTTTGTGCATTTTTTGCCTCTTCAGGAGAAAATGAAAATTTAAGGCGTGCTGTAAGAGGGCGACCAGTTGCAAAGCAAGGACTGCGTATACTTTCAATGGATGGAGGTGGAATGAAGGGTCTGGCAACTGTGCAGGTTCTTAAAGCAATTGAGAAGGGAACTGGAAAGCGAATACATGAGTTGTTCGACCTAATATGTGGCACATCAACTGGTGGAATGCTGGCTGTTGCTCTTGGCATTAAGCTAATGACCTTGGATAAATGTGAAGAAATATACAAGAATCTTGGTGTGTATACTGCAGATGTATTTCAAGATGTTTTATTTGTTGCTCACTTTTTTCTCATTCTGTTCTGCAAATTCACTTCTCAAGGAAAACTTGTCTTTGCTGAACCTGTGCCAAAGGATAATGAAGCTGCAACTTGGAGAGAGAAGTTGGATCAGCTTTACAAAAGTTCATCACAGAGTTTTAGAGTTGTGGTGCATGGATCTAAAGTACGGGTTATCCTTTTCTACATTTCCTTAACTTCTGCATTGCTATGGTTATTCGTTTTTTTTTCTTTTTTATTTATTTATGTGGGACTATATTTTTTACCAGAGAGCATAAACTTGATTATGAAAGAATCTCTTCTTCCAGAAAACTGGAGAATGTTGCTCATGTTTTCAACTTATTTTTTAATAAAAAATGATTATGAAGATATGCTCATTTAATATTGGTATGTGTAATTACATGTTTTGATAAACACAGATGAAGCGGGAACAAAACAGTATAACATATTTTCTTGCAGCACAGTGCAGATCAGTTTGAGAGACTGTTAAAAGAAATGTGTGCTGATGAGGATGGAGACCTGTTAATAGATTCAGCAGTGAAAAACGTCCCCAAAGTTTTTGTTGTATCAACTTTGGTTAGTGTGATGCCAGCTCAACCTTTTGTGTTCCGCAATTATCAGGTGTGGCACTGAGAATTCTATTTCTTAACGTGTTTGATATGTTTTTTTTTTTTCCGTTAGTGTAGGCTATATCACAGTAATTGTAACTTTTTAAATCTGCCGCATGAGATACATTATCATACCCATGAGATCCTTCTTGGTGGTGAGATCCTTGTTGGTGGTGGTTTTGTTAATTATGTTCTTATCTTCTCTCTCTTTTGGTATCGACATTCAGTATCCTGTTGGAACACCTGAAGTGCCCTTTGGAATTTCAGAAAGTTCAGGAGTCCCTGTGCTCGGATCACCTACTACTGGAGCCCAAGTTGGTTATAAACGCAGTGCTTTTATTGGCAGTTGTAAGCATCATATCTGGCAAGCCATAAGAGCGTCATCTGCTGCTCCATACTATCTTGATGATTTCTCAGACGGTATGCTCTTGACATGCTTATTCAAGTTGTGATCCGTCTCTTTACATATAAGTTGAGTGCCTTGGTCATATTTTCGCTAACCAATGACAATTCTATAGATATAAATCGCTGGCAAGATGGTGCTATAGTAGCAAACAACCCTACCATATTTGCTATAAGAGAAGCACAACTTCTATGGCCTGACACCAGAATTGACTGCCTGGTGTCAATTGGGTGTGGCTCTGTTCCAACAAAGGTGATTTTCCTCCCCTCCCTTCCTCCCTTTCTGATTATGCATCTTTTTCTGGGTCCAAGAGTTGGTTTGGTGTTTCCTTTGTAAGGAATTTAGATATGTCTATTCACATAGCACTTCAATCCCCAATTTGTAATAAGAGGCCAATTGGAAGCCCTCTGGATGGGTGGATAGCTGATGGAAGAAGATTTTTATATTTTATAAATGCCTTAACATCGCTTGTAGAAGAAAAGTGCATTTTTTGGTTGGAAAGGAAGGCCTTGAGCAATGCATTTGGAGAAATTAGAGTCAAGACCCATTGAAGTATTAGACAAGGAGTCTGCTGAAACGACCTAAGGGCAATGCACTGTGAAGGAGCAGGAAAAAAAAAAAAAAAAAGCCACAACAGTTATCTTAACAGTAAACAGTCATTAAAAACTTGATGAGTTTAATAGGCACTCAATGGGTTTGTAGCTTCAGCCTTGGTACTGACCAATTTGATTGGACACCATATTTAGTTGAACCTTGTGGAAATCTTGTCATATATCTCTTGATAATGTCAAATATATAGGTCAATATGATGGTTGTGAGGTTTGCTTGGAATTTCTAAATCTGTGTATGTTAGTATGTTATATAATTTAGAGCATATTGGACCCTCTATGTGATTATTCACAAAGAATTCAATCAGATCCTTCTGAAGTACTAGAACTTTGGAAGTGCTTAAAGTGTGAAGAGGTTGCATGAAGTAACTAACGAAGCTTGATTTAGAACAGTGGAACATGTTCTTTTTTATTTACTGAACACTAGAAGAATTTAATGCTGCTTTCATTGATCTGCCAAGCTGTGGATAATAGTTGCTGAACTCTACTACATGACAATATAAAGACAGGGATTCAAATCTTCTCCTTTCTTTCTTTTTTATCAAAAGTTGCCACTTCATTTGTCGATTCACAAAAATATCTTTGGTTCTAGGTCCGGAAAGGTGGTTGGCGTTATCTGGATACTGGCCAAGTGTTGATTGAGAGTGCATGTTCTGTAGATCGGGTGGAGGAAGCTTTAAGTACATTGCTACCTATGCTTCCTGAGATACAATATTTTCGCTTTAATCCAGGTATGCTCAAAGTTGACTGTTTATAAGAGCAAGACACGCATGGTTTTCTAACGCACTTATATTCTTTAAAGATGTTTAGATAATTTTCTTCTATTTTTTTCATATCTTAACACAACTTTTCTTTCTTTTTTCTTATCTGGAAATAATCTTTAAAAACTAGTTTTAGTGAATCTAAGTCAGCGTCCTCTATGGTTTTATCTTGTAGTTGATGAACGCTGTGGTATGGAACTGGATGAGACTGATCCAGCTATCTGGCTTAAGTTGGAAGCTGCAGTTGATGAATATGTCCAGAGCAATACTGAAGCCTTCAAGAATGTCTGTGAGAGACTACTTTTGCCCTATCAACATGATGATAAATTTTCAGAGATTATGAAATCTCAGCAATTTTCTAAGGCGAAGGTTTCAAATGCAGGTATTGATGCTCAATTCTCTCAAGTTGCTTTTCTCATGCTTTCATCATTTGGCATGCTCCTTTTTCTGAACCTGAAATGTTTTCATATCTCACTATTTTAGATGAGAGTAGCCCCTCTTTAGGTTGGAGGCGTAATGTGCTACTTGTTGAAGCTTTGCAAAGTCCCGATTCAGGAAGGGTTGTGCATCATGCTCGGGCACTTGAGTCATTTTGTTCCCGCAATGCCATAAGACTCTCTCTCATGCATGCTGCATCTGGAATTGCAAGAACAATGCCAAAAGGAACATTCCCATCCCCATTTGCATCACCTCTAATTACTGGAAGCTTCCCCTCAAGCCCACTTCTATTCAGTCCTGATTTTGGCTCCCAGAGGAGTGGCCGTATTGACATGGTCCCGCCTTTAAGCTTGGATGGAAAGACAGCTTTATCACCGCCAATGTCTCCTTCCAAACACAGACAGCTCTCTTTACCTGTTCGGTCATTGCATGAGAAGCTACAGAATTCACCACAAGTGGGAATTATACATTTGTCCCTTCAAAATGATTCATCAGGCTCAATATTAAGGTGAACATGTTTCTCTGTTGTTTGACATGCTAATACATATATATGTGTGTGTATTTTCAGCCACTGTACTAACGTGCTGAATGCTTGTTTCTCCAGCTGGCAAAATGATGTATTTGTTGTTGCTGAACCTGGAGATCTTGCTGATAAGTTTCTGCAAAGTGTTAAATTTAGCTTGTTGTCAATGAACCGGAGCCGCCATAGGAAGAATACATCACTTCTTGCCAATATTTCAACTGTTGCTGATTTAGTTCATTGTAAACCATACTTCCAAGTTGGAAATGTCGTTCATCGTTATGTAGGACGACAGACGCAAGTATGTGTTAATGACTTCTTTCTTTTCTTATTAGATCATTCAAGCTGCTATTATTAGGATGTTACCAAATTATGACTCCATTTTAATGTTCATTGCTACTTTCTGAAGGTCATGGAGGATGACCAAGAAATTGGAGCATATATGTTTCGTAGAACAGTTCCTTATATGCACTTGACGCCTGAAGATGTTCGTTGGATGGTATGTTTGGCCCAAACTTGATTTTCCAATGTCTTTATTTTACCTCTAAGGTATTGATTGATTTCCAAGAATGAAACATCCAGAATGGAGATGTAGGAATTGGAATGGAATTTGCATTTCCATACTGTGTTTGGAATAACAATAGGGAATCATAATGCAATTTAAAATTTTTAATATCTAGTTTTTAAGATGAATAAGGATAATGATTAAAAAAATAATTTCATCAATTATAATGGTAGTAAAAATGATAGAGTTGATTGTGGTGGTGGTGGTGATGGTGGTGGAGGAGGAGGAGATGGTATATATATATTAGTATAGTAATAGCAACAATATATTTTTTAAGAACTGATGCCACCACTGTAGGAAGTGACAGTGGAAGAAGAGTGGTGGTGGAAGAAGAGCAGTGGCAGAATAATAATAATAATTTTTTTTTTCAAATTTTTTTTGTCACCATCGTCAATTGTGGTGGCGGTGGCAGTGATGGTAGCAGTGGCGATGGTGGTGGTAAAATAAAAGTGATGGCGGTGGAGGAGGAGTGGCTGTGGAATAATAACAATAATAATTTTTTTTCACTGCCAATGATTGTTGTGGTGGTGGTGGTTGTGGAGGTGGAGGTAGAAGTAGTTGACACAATAAATATAAATAATATATCACTATTTTGAAGAGAAAGTTTTATTTTCATTCCTTATTTTTATTTCCACCTCTCCTATAAGAATGAAATTATGTTTAATTTTCATTTACATTACCACTCCTTGTTCCCATTTCCACTTCATTCCTCTCAACCAAATTCTTACAAAGTGGGAATAGAACTTTTATTCTCATTTCCCCCATTCCATTACTTGTTACCAAACAAAACTTAAATATTTTAAAATTTTGGATGAACAAATGGTAGATATTTTGATTCTCTACTCACCTTCTGTGGTTCTCTTGAAATGTTGGTCTATTCCCATAAGATCATCATTCACTATTGGCACTGCTGAATCAGGGTTCTATGAGGGTTGAATTAGACAAAACCTGCCCTGCAGTGTTTTCTTGTAATTGTTTGCTTTCTGGAGATGAATCAATGTACTTACACTTGGCCTGTTCTTAATATCTAGGTTTTGTGCAAACCTTACAGAAGACATAAAGCTTTTATACTTTCTAGAATAATTCAGCCATAAAGTCTTTTCTTTTCCATATTGTTTTTCCAAATTGTCAAGTCATATAAAGCGTATTTAGATTTTCATCCATTGTTTCATGTTTCTCATAGCATAATTATTCTTCTCAACTTTCTTAAGATGGAGAAAACTAGGGCACTCCTAAGGGCTAATGCAGAAACTGCTGCTTGCATTTTGTTATTTTGTTGTTCCTTACAAATGGTTGACAAACTCTGATAAGAATCCTGTTAATTCAAACATTGTTTTGTTGTTTCTAGTGATTTATGCAGTTGCCTTTTGTCTTGTTAAAACCTAGGTTGGAGCTTGGAGGGACAGGATCATAATTTGCACAGGGACATATGGGCCAATGCCAAGTTTAATCAAGGCCTTTCTGGATTCTGGTGCAAAAGCTGTAATATGCCCTTCGGCAGAGCCCTTAGATCTGCCGGTGAATTTAGTCCATGGATCAGGGGAGTTCAATGTTCTAGAAAATGGGAGGTTTGAGATTGGAGAGGAAGAGGCAGAGGAAGAAGAGGCTGAGCCTACCAGTCCAGTGAGTGATTGGGAAGATAGTGATCCTGAGAAGCATGCAGAACATTTTATTGGTTTTTGGGATGATGATGAAGAGGACCTATCCCAGTTTATCTGTAAGTTGTATGATTTGTTGTTTCGGGAAGGGGCAAGAGTAGATGTTGCTCTCCAAAATGCTCTTGCTTTACATCGGAGGCTAAGGTACTCATGCCATCTTCCCAGCATACAATAGTTAGTTGGATACTAATACAAGAAAATGAAAATTAAACCAAAAACATGTACTAAAAAAGAGAGAGAGAGAGAGAGAGATGAAGGAGAGAGGGGGAGAGAGAGAGAGAGAGACAGAGGTACAGGAGAATAAGTATATAGATGATTGCATCTATAAGTACAGAAGTGAGGGAACATCCAGTTTTGAGGCATATAAGAAAAAAAATGTTTGTCTGTTCTTCATTGCATGAACACAAGTAAATAACAATTGATACCATTTTTTCAATGACAAGCATTTAAATTTGTCATTTACACTGAACTTTTACTCTCTCTCTGACCTATGTCAACCTTTTCATTTCTAAGGCCCAAATTCTGAGTTTTACTTTGGCAGTTACCTTGGTTATTGTACAGTCCATTTTAGACTTTAAGATCAGAGGTTTGTGGAGTGGGTAACCCATGAGCTCTGTGGTGGTGTCATGTTTACTTTAAGGGCATTTCTCGAATCAATGATCAGTATTTAGATGCTATGCTTGTCCATGACTTGGTATCGGAGACACAAACCAGCACCTTATATTGACTGCCCGGAGCCTTAACATCCAATCAAGTTTTACTACTGTATAACAAATAGAGAGGGAATGCCTCGGAGGGACATTATGATCTGGGTTTGGTTTTTGCCTGAAGGCAGAGTTCTGTGCCAGAAAACAGTGATGAGAATGACAAAACTCAAAAGCAGGAAAAAGAAGAAAGTTCTTCAAAAAGTAAAAAAGATAAAAAGAGGGAATGATCTAGTTTGTCTTGTTGCTTGTCTCTTAAGTTATGATGATAGAAATGTTGGACTATTGTAAGCAGAGAAAATTATGGGGGAGCCTTGTGATGAATGCCGCGTTACAGGTTACATATGATCCAATTCATCATAATTGTACTTGAAACTAATTATGCCAAGTCAGTAAGGAAAGAAGTACTTCCTCCAGAAATTGTAATTAAATTCTTATCTTACTGATATATTTTGACAATTTATCTCTGGTTATTTTTTTATGGTCTGTTTTTCTTATATAGATCAAGTATGGTTAATTATTTTATTTTTTAAAATACCATAAAATTTCTCGTATTTCCCTATAATCTGGACTCACCAACGAACGGTACCGTCCTCCCGATTGATGAATAGATTTGCATATACGATTGGGGGATACTAAGCAATACTTTGATTAGCATAATGGAGGTTTTCCTTAGCATGCTGGATTTTCAGATCATAAAAAACACTGCTAATTCACTAAATTAGGTGCAGAAATCCAGGTGGAAGAAGAAGACAGAAGTGAGCTTGTGGCATTTTTGTTCCTTTCTTAGCCACTCCTAATTAACCACAACAAAGTCAGAAAACTTTGGCCTATATGCTCAGTGCTTTCTCTGTCACATTAGCACTGACTGACACTTGGGTTACTTGATAACTGAAGAAGAAAGACCTTCCATCTCAGAAAACTATGGACTATCAAATTAATATAATATGGAACTGAACATTAATCTCAATGGCCCCCTTGATGTTGAATTTGATTTGAACTTCAAATGTCAAAATGGAATATAATGGGGCCAGGAAAATTCCTTAGGACACATAAATGGGACTGTTTAATCATAGCCACAGGAATTAGATTAAAGATATATCTTATTATGAATGCTGTGTCAAAGTATCCTCTTCCATTACAAAAACTGAAGATATGATCTGTGCCATTACACAGAATGCACTCACTGCAAAAAAAGCAAAAGAAAGAAGGGAAATCAACACCACCTCCAATGACACCATACCTAAATTCCACTTCAACTAATTTACCTAGAAAAGTTTGTGAAGACAACCAAGGCATGAGAAAAGGAGGGTTAACCTAACAAATATGACCAAGAAACCACAGAGAATAGCATGATTTACCCTGTAAGTAGATAAAGAATGCTTGACCAATTGGTGCAGGCCCTACCCTAATTATAATGCTAAGCTTTTAAATCACTTTGAGTAGTCAATGGGGTTAAAATATTTTATCAGTAAAGCATGCATATGCTTTCATTGCAATCACAAGATGAATATGATGACTAATATCCCTATCAAATGCGCCAATTATGCAAAACCTCATGCTGTCCACTTTAATAAAGAAGTTCAACAAGAACTTTACTGAAAAAAAAGAAAAAGAAGAAGAAGAGAGATTCCCCATTCCCCAACCTTAAAGCAACCCCCCTCTCATTTTATACTTTGACAAAGAAATAGGGCCACCACTTTCTTCAACCAGAAGCCTTATTCATCAGTTCAATCATACTATACTATGCAATATAAAGCCAGCAACATTACCACCAAGTTCCCGGAGAAAATGGCTGGAACGGCTCCGGTTGCAATAGGCACACGGGGTACGGTAGGATCACTTGTGAGGAAAGAAATTGAGTATTTCACCAAGTTTGAGATAGAGCGATGTGCGAGTTCAAGGAAACCTCAAGGGCAGGTGGCTGAATTGGCTTCCAGTAATGGTCAGTCAAGGCCTAGTTTCTGGTCCTTGACGATGAGCTGGAGAAGGAAGAAGCGAAGAGGCAGCTTCGGATTCCTTCCAAGTATCTGTTCTGCTGTGGAAGTTGCTGACAGCAATAGGCTCAGTGGGATTCCTGGGTTCAGTTATAGAATCCTGAAGGACGATTTGAAGGATATGCAGGTTTAGAGAATCTTATAAAGAACTGCCATGCTTTCTGACCTCTCTAAGCTGCTATGTAAAGCCACTGGGCCATGCTTTTGCTGATACTATAACTTTAGGTCCACAACTTCAATAGTACTAGATTCTCTCTTGCCAGAATTATCTATCTATCAGGCTTCCTTTTTAAGGGAATGTGTCAGAAGTCGGAGAAGAGCACAGGATCAAGCCGGTAGATTTGCCAGCACGTGTTGCTGATTAAATTACTGTTCTTTATAAGAACATTCGGATGGTCTTTCCATTGCTGATATTTGGAACTGTGAGTTGACTACTATAAGAATTTTGGTGCATCATGTGCATCAGATATTGTGGTACTAGATTACGAGGTTAACAACTGTCACTCCTGCTATTTTCAAAGCCATGCCACCATCTCATATTTTTTACAGTGCCCTGATCATACCAGGCTTTAAGTTTCAATTACAACATCGCGAGGGACTAAGTATGGAAAGTTTGCTCAAAAACTGGCAGTGTGAAGAACTGCTAAAAAATATCTATGTAAAGTTTAGTTTTACTGTTGTTTGTGTTTAGAAGAAATTGGAGTATGCCGTTTCTAATGGAATGAACAGAATGAGATTGATAAAGAATAGCAAGCATTGATATCCTAAAAGAAATTAAATTTACATGGACATTCTGATGTTCTGAACAAACAACACTCCTGCAATTCTAGTGCCTGGACTTTTTCCCTGTCCATTTACATATTTACACACTTATGAAATACAGTATCAATGTGGTTTGAAAAATAAGTTGAATGGTAATATAAAAAAAAAAACATCAAACTATTCACCAAATTGAAATCCTAGAAGTAGCTTTTGGTTTCCACGAAACGTCTAAGCTCCTAGCTCTTCCTTGGCATTTCCTCCTTTCACAGAGTCGACATAATTGATGCTTTCTCTTGATGCCATTGTAGCTTTTTTCTCCTCATTTGGCTGGGCAAGAAACACAAGCGCCGTTACAACATCAGCCATCAAAGGTCGGGTATCAGCTTCTTCATGGAGGCACATGGCTGCAATTGCAAGAGCTTGGTATAGACTCTTTTTTGGGTAGTTTCCTTCAAGCAATGGATCTGCCATTGCTGCAAATTGACTTCTGTCCTTCAACAGCGGTGTTGCCTGCAATACGGATATGAGAATCAATACCAAGGTCTGCACTCACAGACACTCTTAAAACCTCAACGTTTGCAGCTTGTGTTCTAAGCTATAACCCTGGCAAATGGAAAGGTATAATCCTCACAACTTAATTGAATGAAAAAATGAAAAGAAAATCATCAGCATACCCAATGAACTAGGTTCTGCTCTTCAGTTGGTCTTGACAGATCGATAACTCTCCTTCCTGAAATAATCTCTAGAAGAACAACACCGAAGCTGTAGACATCAGACTTTGTCGTCAGCTGGCCTGTCATTTGGTATTCAGGAGCACAGTAGCCATAAGTACCCATCACCCTTGTAGACACATGATCCTTCCCTCCTGTTGGACCCAACTTGGCAAGTCCAAAATCAGACAACTTTGGATTGAAATCTTCATCTAATAATATGTTTGAAGCTTTGAAATCCCGATAGATGATTTGCGGATCGGCAACACCATGCAAATATTCCAGTCCTTGTGCTGCTCCTGATGCTATTTTCATCCTAGTAATCCAGTCCAAAGGCTCTTTCCCTAGAGGTAAATCTGGAAAGCAGAAAATGTTAGCAGCCAGAGTACAGAATTTACTGAGACAATTTAGATAGAAAAACTTCAAACCTAAGGCTAAATCAAGGCCATGCTTGAACTACATGACATGTTAACAGAAAGAATTTGGTAAAACTTCTTGCCAAGGATACCAAAAAAGTTATTTGGGCATACCAAGAAGGTGATTTTCCAAAGATCCATTGGCCATGAATTCATAAACTAAAAGCCTTTGATCACCATCTGCGCAATATCCAATTAGTTTGACAAGATTTGGGTGTTTAACCATGCTTAACGTAAGGACCTCCGAAAAGAATTCTCTGTTTCCCTGCAATCCTTTCCTGTCAAGCTGCTTAACAGCAACAATCTGAAAAAAAGAACGAAACAAACGAATCGCATTACAAGATGACCTAGGGTAAAACACAGGCATGCATATCCTTAAAATACACAAGACTGACCTGATCAATGCTCTCAATGTATCCTTTGTACACCCTTCCAAATCCACCTTCTCCCACCAGGAAATGATGATTGAAATTACTTGTTGCAACAGCTAGTTCACGAAATGTGAAAACCTGATTAATATTCCTCCTTTTGCTGGCGCCTGCAACAACGAAAACTTGAATAAACTAATGAACATACATATATTACCAAAATCACAAACCTGAAGATTTCTTATTCCATCGACAGACCCATTCTACGAGACATGTTCCTGACGAAGGACAATGTTTTGCCTTGTTTGCAAAATCTCTTGCTGTTCCATGATGATCTGCTTCCCTTAAACGAATCTTTCTTTTCCAATCTACAGCATGAGAAAAGACTCATTTCCTTCCCTCTCCTCCTGCTAATTTGTAACCCCTTCTGTGTATTTATGTAAACTCTACAAACCCAATGCTGCTAGCTAGATCCCTTGTTGAAGGCAAGAGGATTCAATCCCACCATGGAAAAAGCTCTCTATTTATCCATTAACTAGATAGGAATCGAGTTCTTTTGGTAATAACATTGTTAGTTTTTGCTGTAAAATTTAACCCCAGACCAATGGATTCTGAAACTGTTTGTTAGTCTAGTTGGAAGTAATCAGTTTTCTTTGTTACTACTTAACGAACTCCTTTTAGCCATTTCACTCCTATAATTAGTATTTTCCCATGGCTCAAGATAAATGCTGACAGGTCGGCCACCAGTCACCTTGTTCATAATTCTTTGTCCACAGGATTAGATTCCATTGACAAAAATTCAAGAAAATATTAGGTAAGTCTGGCTCATCTTGAATCCACACACACACACACACACATATCCACACAGAAATTGGCCTACCTTCTCAGCTGCTCCATATGCATCTCTTTATTTTTATTTATATCCCTTCTAGAAATAGAACTCAATATTCCAAATGACCTTTACATTGAAGAAATTAATTATATATTATAAAAAAATAAATTATTTTATTTTTTGTATCTCTTAGCTGCAAGCGTTTCCTTCTTCTTTGGTTTTTTTTTTCAGTGCTAAAAAAAAAAAAAAAAAAAAAAAACCAAAGTTAAAAATCAACCTAAAAAATTTAATAACAATTACACCTCTAAAACTTATATTTTTAGGATTTACAAAACCACGAAACGAAGAGATTGAAATTCTAAATGCTTATTATGAATTTTTTTTTATTTTTTATTGTCACTTTCTTTCATTGCATAAAACTAGATTCTCTCTTGTCAGGATTATATATATGTGGTCAAAATCTTTCAGCTTTTTAATTTCAAGTTGGATCTCTTTACAACTATTTTTTATTCAAAATTAGATTATTTTTTTATTAATTTTTCATAAATTCAAACGTGTAAGTGTAATTTTTAAATATTTAAAAACATGTCAAAACTTATAGATACTTTGTTTTTTTCTCTAAAATTTATTTGTTTAAATGAATGTTGGTGAAAAGAAATTAAAATCTTATTTCTTTAAATGAATGTTGGAGGGAAGAAATTAAAACTCTAGGGATTGACTCTCAAATAGCTTAAAGATGAGGAGAGGTTTGGACCATTTAACCTATATCTATCTGTCTACTGCTTATGCTTTCACACCTGCATGCTTCATCTGGATATGGCGTTCATGGAGCTTGAAATGACATGCGCAGGTTAACTTCTATAAGATTTTAGTGCATTAGGTGTTGTGTTTACTAGATTATAAGGTTAGCAACTAGCCTTTCTTGATATGTTGAAAGCCATGCCGTTATTATTGTTAAGTTGTGGAAACTAATGTCATATGAATATGACTCGTAATTTGATATGCTATGCAGAGTCAATACGACGGTCTCGCTAATATGATCACTATCTCTTTTATTTATAGTTGATCGAAAATTCTAATAAGAACTCTTAGTACAATCATAGAGTATGCAAATTGCCGAACTACATAAATCTTATTTCGTGTGATTATTTTTGTCTTTCTATTTTATTTTTTGCTTGATTTCGTTTCCCAATGACTATGGTATAGTTCTTGTGGTGCTTGGAGCATGTAGTTTTAAACTTTTAATTGAATGAACAGAATCACACTGATGAAGAGTAGCCAACATTGATGTCTTAAGAAAAATTAACACTGCAATTTCCTACTTTTTGATGTTCAGAATAAATTACAACGACCCTGCAGTTAGTTATTGAACACTTTCTGTTGATGACACTGTAGCTTTTTTATCCTCAATTGGAGCAGAAAGAAACTCAAGTGCAGTTACAACATCAGACATCAAAGGTCTGGTATCAGCTTCCTCTTGGAGACACATTGCTGCAATTGCGAGGGCTTGAAATAGTTTCTTCTGTGGGTAGTTCCCTTCTAGCAATGGATCTGCCATAGCTGTAAATTTACTTTTGTCCTTAAACAGTGGCTCTGCCTGCAACATGGAAATGAGAATTAATCATAAGGTCTGCACTCTCAATTACTCTTAAGGATATAATCCTAATCATAGATTCAAATAATAGCGGTTACATAACATAATGACTGTTACATGATACTTTCGAAGCACCTCGTTATTGTTATTCACGGTTTCATGTGAATAATGGTGAATAACGGCGTTAGCGTTATGTAACGCCATTATTCATTGTTATATAACAACGTTATATTTTTAAAAAAAAAATCAAAATTTTAGCTTTTGTATTTTGTAACCTATCCATCAAATCTTAATAGTATACTTTATTGATAAAATTGTTACAAATATGTGAATTAAAATAAATTTTAATAATTGATAATATGTTCATAAGATCGGTTGCTGCGATTGTTATTTTACAATCGTAACTATTTTTTTAACCTCATTGTGATTTAAAACTATGATCCTAACGCAACTTTCTTAAAGAGAGGTAAAAAAAAAAAAAAAAAAAACATGGACATACCCAATGAATTAGGTTCTGCTCCTCGGTTGGTCTTGACATGTCCATGACTCTCCTTCCTGAAATTATCTCCAGAAAAACAACTCCAAAACTGTAGACATCAGACTTTGTTGTCAGCTGACCCGTCAATCGATATTCAGGAGCACAGTAGCCATATGTACCCATCACCCTTGTAGACACATGATCCTTCCCTCCTGTTGGGCCCAACTTGGCAAGTCCGAAATCGGAGAGCTTCGTATTGAAATCTTCGTCTAATAATATGTTTGATGCCTTGAAATCTCGATAAATGATTTGAGGATCTGCAGTATTGTGCAAATATTCCAATCCTAGTGCTGCTTCTGTTGCTATTTTCATCCTAGTATTCCAGTCCAAAGGTTTTCTTCCTGGAGGTAAATCTGGAAAGCAAAAATGTTGGCACAATCTTTTACCGAGAAAATCAAAAAACAAAACTTCGGAACTAAGGCTAGGGCAGTTGTTGAAATATTGCTTAGGATACAAGAAATTAATTCTGCATACCAAGAAGGTGAGTCTCCAAATTTTCGTTAGACATGAACTCATAAACTAAGAGTCTTTGATCACCATCTACGCAATAGCCAATCAGTTTGATAAGATTTGGATGTTGAACCATACTTAACGTGACTAACTCTGAAAAGAATTCTTTGTTTCCTTGTCTTCCATTCGGGTCAAGTTGCTTAACAGCAACATGCTGCAAAAAAAGAGAACGAAACAAAGGAATTGCATTACAAGATGATCTAAGATGACAAGTCCGAATGTTGCCGAAAGCATAAGACTGACCTGATCAGTGCTCTCAATGTATCCTTTGTAAACTTTTCCAAATCCACCTTCTCCGATCGAGCAAGAAGGATTGAAGTCGTCAGTTGCAACAGAGAGCTCATGATATGTGAAAACCTTTAAATTATTCTTCCTTTTGCTGCTGCCTGCAATAGCATTGATAGATAACATGACTAAAACCCTAACCTTCTATATCTTACCAATATCATAAACTTGAACGTTTTTCCTTACAAACCTATTTTCCATGACATGTTCTTCCAGAATGAAAATGCTCTGCCATGTTTGACAGATGCCTTATCAGTGCTTGATGTGCTCTCCACAAGAGGATCCTCCTTTTCCGATCTACAACATGGGAAAAAAATCATTTTCCTCCCTCTCCTCTTACTAATTTGCAAAACCCTTTTGTTTTAGCTCTACAAATCCAACATTTTCCCAAATTCCCTTGTTGAATATAGGATTTAATCCCACCATAAAAAAAGCTGTTTATCTATCTATATATATATATATATAGCTATCATCAAGTGATATATATGATCCTGAAACTTGTTATTAGTCTTCTGATGTCTATCGTGTCTCTCTTGCTTCCATCTTTGTTTAGTAAAAACAGCTTCTTACACTATCTTTTAAACATTTTACTCCTATAATTAGTAATTTCCATGGCTAAGTTCATGCTGACCAACCCACCAACATGACCGCGCTCAAGATTTATTTGACTAGATGATTATTTTTTTTTTGGTCAAGTAAAATGGATGTACAGCTAGACGACGGATCACATATACTCTTTTTCTTTTTTTTCTTTTTTTCGTCATACAAAATTATTCTATAGAAAATATTTTCAAGAATATATTGGTGAATCATTTTAGTAGCCATGAACTATAAAATCTATTTATGAAGATAAATTTGAGATCAAACGATGTCTTTTTTTTTAATCAAATTTGAATATTTGTGCCTAACTTGCATCATGTGTGGAATTTCAGATATTTTTGTTCTACCTAAATTTATTTTATTTTTTTAAAAAGTTATTTTTATATATTTACCATCATAGATGATTTTCATTCAAAAAAATTAATAAACATGTTTTATGATATGAATAATATTTGAATTACATGCATTAATTATTTTTAATTTCTGGAAATAATATATCAGATTATATGATCATAAGAAAATAATGAAACTTCTAGTATTTCTTTAAGTTTTTATATTACTGTTTGTATAGAATTGAACCTCAATATAGCAAAACTAAAAGGGTGTGAAAGAAGGTAAATACAAAAAAAAAAAAAAAAAAAAAAAGGAAGAAAAATGATTTATCTTATGAGATTAAAAAATGAAAAAACACAAAAAGAAAAGAAAATATGAAATATAAAAAGAAAACAGGCTAAGAGAAGTTGGGCCAGCACGCCTGCCCTCTGGTAGGGCTTCAAAAAGGCCTACCTCTGATTGACGGCCTGTGTATAGAAAGAATAATGAAAGACGAGTCGTCTGCCTATTATAGACAACATCTGCCCACAATAGTTTTCTTATGCATTTTTTTTCAACAAAAATAGCCTTAAAATTATGCATACGTTCTCAATAAATACATTACTGACAATAACATCTACTTTAATATGTTTTTTCAGATAAAACTACCTCTATGGCTCTATGACATTAGTTAGAAACAAAGAAATCAATATAGTTCGATAAGATAAATTAAGAAGAACAAATGGTAAAGAGGTAGTTTGGATATATACGTGTGTGTAGGTAACAAAAAGTAATTGAGAAGGTATGTTTTTTTCAGAGTCTTATATTTGAATATTGAATTAGTATACTGAAAAATTGATTAAATTATTTTAAATTAATTAGATCGATGTTAAAAATATGTAAAGTCGTTCCAAAAAAATTGATCTTAATTGACATAGAAATTAATCTCAAAATATTTGATATCATCAACTAAACCCTTTAAATCGTAATAATTAATGACATGATAGTTATTTTCTCAAAAAAAAAAAAAAACCGAAAAGAAAGGGACACTAAATTATACATATTGCTTGCCCACTGACTAAATAATGGGATTGGGTGAATGAATTTGGATTTGTGATGGCCTTTTTCTATTTCTTTAATCCAACTTTATTTGAAAAAAAAATTGAGAGTTGAAAGAGAATTGCATGCCAAATGAGAAAAATTATATAATTGAATCAAATCCTTTTATAATCAACTATTTTATTATTTTAATATTTATTAATGTAATTTTTATGACTTCAATATTTGTTTGTGAGTTAATATAATATAATCAATTATTTTATGATTTCAATAAATAATTAATAAAAAATATTTTCATTTTAAGTAAAAAAAATCATTAGAGCTATTATTTTTTGATTAAATCTAGAGATGCTTGTTATATTTTAAAAAAAAAAAAAAAAAGAGCTTGAGTGTGTGTTAAAAAAAAAACTAATTTAGTTTTTGGTGAAAACTAATTTTAAAAAAAATCAAACCAAACTAAAATAATTTGGGTTTTTCATTTCGATTTTTGTTCAAAATTTTTGTATAAAACCAAATTAAATTACTAATTTCATTCCATTTGGTTTTTCGGTTTTAATCAAACAGTCCTCACCCCTTCGTCCACTGGCTTTCCTCAATCTCTCCGAAAGCCCACTAAGCTTTCCACGTGCAAGATCACTAACTCACAGGCGTGTCCCTTCGAATTGACACGTGTTACGTCATCAACACCCCTAAAACCCCAGCTAAAGAAACCCTAATTTCTCTCTGCATCAAAAACAATTCCAATCAATGACGATTTACAGATCCATAAAAACCCTAATTTCAAAAATCCCCAATTCTTCTAACAAATCAAGATCCTTCTTTACAACAACAGCAACAACAAATTCCACTATAATACAATCACCATTCGCTCCTTTACCCTACTACTACTCTCCTTCTTCTCCTCCTCCTCCAAATCGATTCCTCTCCAAATGGATATTCCTAAGCGCACCGTTTCAAGGCCCTTTATTTCTCTCTTTTCCGCCGTGGAAGCTTTTGCAGTCTTCCACACCGCTTTATCTACGTGGAAACGCTATTGTTTTGAGGAAAGTCGAGGCCTTTAATTTACATTTATTAAAAAGCCGGGTCGGATCAGGTTATGTGGGTCAAGGCGTGTTGTTGAATCGGGTTGACCCGGTAAAGGAGGAGGAGGCGGTGGATGGTGCTGTTAAAGATGGGATTTTGGAGAGTTTTGTTAATTTGCCTAATTTTATCTCTATCAGCCGTTTGGTTTCTGGGCCTTTAATTGGATGGTATTTTTTTCTGATTTTTTAATTACTTCATTTTTTTTATATATTATTTTGCTCATGGTCTCTTTGGTTACTGAGAAAATGGGGGAAGTAAATGGAAAGAAAGTTGGGATTAGTTTTAATTCTGAAGTTTTTGGGGATCTAAATGTGGTTATATCTTTTTTATTAAATTTGGTGCGTTTTTATGACTGATTAATTCTATTTTCAATGTAAACAATTATAAGTACAAAAATTGTCTATTTTTAATGCATAAGAAGTAGAGTTTGTTAATGTTATATTGGGAAAGAGTGGCAAGGTTAAATGATTAGGAGGAGCATCTTTATTGTAACTTAGTAGCTGTTGTCAGTGATTTTCGGTATTTATATTATGTGGATTTTTTTTTTTTTTTGGTTCATAATTTTGCATTTGGTTGGTTAGTATCTGGATTTTAGGAGTGATTTGATTAATGTTTTTTATGCAGGATGATTACAAATGACATGTATTCTTCTGCATTTGTGGCCTTGGCTATTTCTGGTGCAAGTGACTGGGTAATATTATCATGAAAATTCATTTTGCTTTTTTTGTTTCAAACAAAAAACTGAAAATTTAATGTGTTGTTCTTTCTTAAAACCTGTAGCTAGATGGATATGTCGCTAGGAAGATGAGAATTGATTCTGTAGTGGGTTCCTATCTTGATCCGCTTGCTGATAAGGTAGAGTGAATTCTTGATCTTCTTCAAAGTTTTATTGTTGATGGTTTATAGCTAGTCATGGGTTGTACATGGAGTTTATTATAATCCGCTAGAGTATAATTTTTTTTAACTTGTTTCTTCATTTAATATAGGTTCTTATTGGATCTGTTGCTTTGGCAATGGTACATATGGATCTTCTACACCGTAAGTTGTCTGGTTTTAAGCATATTTTGCAGCACTTGGAATTCATATGCAGACAGATAATATGTGTAGTCGGTATATGGTTGCGCAACTTACGTTATTATGTATGCCTTGTGAAGCTGGACTTGTCGGACTGGTTGTGTTGCGAGATGTTGCACTCGTCAGTGGAGCAGTTTATCATAGAGCTAGTAACTTGGGTTGGAGGGTCAGTTGACGACTTGGCATTAGTACCTTTCATATTATTTTTTGTTTTTGCCTGTTTTCCTTGGCCTAAATTTTGCTGGATATTTTTTAATTTCTTCTTCCAGTGGGCTAATTGGTATGATTTCTTCAATCTTGATGGGACCCACCCAGAGAAGGTTGAACCTCTCTTCATAAGTAAGGTATGGTTAGTTTTTCAATTTGATTAGTCATGACATGTGTTTTAAACATAAGTTTCTTAGCTTTTCTCTTTATTATTATTATTTTAAAAGCCATAAGATGATTGTAGTTGAACACTGAGTAGAGAAATCCTTCCCGTCCTTTTTTCAGCGATATGATAATTTTTGCATTGAATCATTGAAATGAGGAACATTTTTAAGCAAAAGGCATGGTAAAGAATGAAGTCTCGTGATACTGTTGCCCTGTAAGAATTTAACCTAGAGTAGTTGCATTATAGGGAATGTGTGAAGCTCTTGAAAGCTTGAAGGAAACCGGTTGCCATAGAGGTGGAAAGTGCTGCCTGCTATGATAATTACCTTCAATTATGCCACAATATTTTTTACTTAAAATCTGTTCTAGTATTGATGTTAACAAGCATTAGCAGCAATTTTTTTTCCGGAATTGAGCATTGTTCTTGGTCAAGAAGAAGAAAAAAATCTGGACATCTTTATTTTTTGAGCTTGTGATTGATTTCAACAAGAATTATAGCACATGCGATTGCTTTCATTTTAGTTGAAACCTTTTATGCTGACTGAGGAGGCGTCCATTTATTGTCAGGTTAATACAGTTTTCCAGTTGGTTTTAGTTGCTGCAGCTCTCCTTCAACCGGAGTTTGGAACCCAGGAAACTCTACCATACATAACATACTTGAGGTAATCCAGTCAACTCTTAATTTCATCCCTTGTATCTTTTCTGCTCAACTACTGCAATAAATTCTCGTGCATGACCCATTTTTTGCCACATTTGGTGCAGTTGGTTAGTGGCTGGCACAACAGTGGCTTCTACTGCTGCATATGGAGCAAAATACTTGGGGAATAGACCTGCATTGCTTGCAAGGAAATCATAGTTTCATTTTCTCTGCTCGAACCCGTCTGACAGTAGAGGAATGACCTTGAATTTTAGTTACCAAGCGGGTGCTCGAAGCTTTTCAAGAGATATCATCGATATTCAAGGTCATTATTCCATAGTTGCAGATGAAAAGAAAAGGTTAACCAGGGCCTTTTCAGAGCCTTACCCCTTGAGTCCCTATGGTATAGATGAGCTGTGGTTTCTCTTTAACAGTTGAGATCGACAACGCTGTGAGTTTGGGGACATATCAGCTTGTAAAACAGTGGAAAATGGAAAGGATTATGCTGATGAATATGTCAGCTTGTAAATTCTTTGATATAGAGTTGTTGTAACGCAACAAAAAAGAAAGTAAAAAAAAAAAGGAGCAAGATTTTGTTTCATAAAAAATGTAATAATTGAAAATTTTGTCTACTATGAGTGTTTTGTTTGAGCTTGTGTTGCCCCTAAGTTTTGCAGGGGACAAAATACTTTTGACTTTTGAGGGATAGATATACAGACAGGATGCTAGTCTCCTAGAATGATGGGCATCAGAAACATCAGGCTAAGCTTTGATGACATTTCTGGCTTTTTTCATGAGGAGGGTGTCTACAGTAAGTGGCAATGGCAACAATGTTTAGGACAAAAGAAGGGCTTTGCGACACTCAACCTTATCTAGAGACAGTGAAGACAAAGCGTTGTCAGTAATATCCAGCTGAAGACAAGCTCTGGACATAGACAAAAGAGTTTGGCAGCATCCTTTCAAGTACCAACGAATCAACTATTGAGTTGTTGTCGGCAATAATTTTCCTCTAAACATACACAGCCTAACAACCATTGATATATATATATATATATATATACACATGCTAGGCTTGTTCATCGTTATGTATTCAAAGCTATCGATGTGATTAGTTGAGGTATTATAAATTAACAATAACATTGCAGTTCCAAGACATGTAATCATGATCAAAATTATATGCATTTTGCAATAGATATACTAACATGGCAATCAACAAAAACATCATATTGATATGTTATTTCTAATATAAAAAATAATATATTGATTTATTTATCATATTTAAAATTATCAATGTAATCAATGGAGATATCATATATCAACAATGATATCACAATTCTAAAAACATTATTCATATTAAAAAAAATCATATATAAATGATAAGGGCACTTCATTTTAATTTTTAAGCCAAATAATGTGATTTTTTTTATTTATAAGATCAATTTTTTTTAATTTTGGATTTTGAGAACTAAGTTGAAGATCACTCAATTATATCCCATTTCCCCACTATATTTATTTATGGATAAGGATATAAATAGTTATCAGACATTAATTTCCCACTTATTTTCACAGGCGAAAAAAAAAAAAAAACCCTCCCAAATTTCCATAAACCCCAAAAAATAAAAAAACAATTCGATTGGCACGTGGAACCCACTCGCGTTCTAATTGGCTACGTATAGTCACAAGAATCAAGGAAAGAACTTGATCTACATACATATTTTACACATTTTCTCCTTGCGATAATGTTCTTTCACCTCTTCTCGGTTTCTTTCAAACATAAAAAATAAAAAGTCCTCTCTTTAATCGATCTTTAAAGCCAACTTAATCATTAGAAAATCGTTATTTCTCATCTGGGTCTCAATTTTTCAGCTGAAACATCATAAATACAGGGATTTTAGAGGTTACTTGTATAATTATTAATTAATACTATTATAAAGTTATTATGGCTCAAGCAGTGGAAGATTGGTATAAGCAGATGCCGATAATTACTCGTTCGTATGTCACAGCTGCTGTTGTTGTCACCATTGGTTGCTCTCTGGATGTATGCCTGCCTTCGCTCAACTTTATTATTTTTTTTAATATATGGGATTTGTTTGTTTTGATTTGTTAATGTTTGTTAATTTGGTTTTAGTAAAATGGGTTTTCTTGTTTTTTGATGAAACTCGAATGGGTTTGTTTTAATTTTGTGAATGGGTAGCTTTTTTTTTTTTTTTTTTTTCAATGTGGGTTTTGTGTTTTTGAAAAAAAAAATATATATATATTTTGAGTTATTCCTTTTAATTTTTGTTGATGGGTTTTGTTCTTTTTGAATGATTTCAAGTGGGTTTCTTTCAATTTTTGTGATTAGTAGCTTTTCGGTGGATTGTGTGGTTTTTTGTTAATCTTAATTTTTTAAAGGATGTTGAAATAATTAATTTGGGTTTTTTGTAGGTTGTTTTAGCTATTGCTTTGCTATTCTCATCAATGACTAGGCTTAGGTAGCTAGATTGGTTCATTCTGGATTATTTTTATCTTGGCATTTGTGATTTTGATGGCTTTATGAAGGTGAAGAGACTGTTTTTATTGATTTGTTTTTTATTTGTTTGTTTTGGGCAGATAATATCTCCGTCTAATCTGTACTTGAACCCTAGACTTGTGATGAAGAATTATGAGTTCTGGCGCCTCATCACTAATTTCCTCTACTTCCGTAAAATGGGTATGTTTTTGCTGAGTTTAATGGTGTTTAACATATTGGAAATTTACAGAAGCTTTCAACTTCATTGCATATGTATGAATTTATTGTCTTTGCAGTCTTTTGCATCTTAATATCGGAGGTTTTCAGTCTTTGTCTTGGTCCATTGGTAATCTGTAAACAGGTTCCTAGGTGTAGAGATTTATTTTCGTTCGCTTTGCATCTCTATTATAAGAGGGCCCTGAATTTGGATTTTAATGTCTACATATCTATAAACGAAGATGTAGATATATTTTGAATAAAAGAGTTATTATAAACTTTGGCTGACAAGTTCATGTAAGCATTGCAGTTTTTTGCCTGGTGAATTCTATGACATTTGCATATCTTATGGCATGGCATATCTAAAGTCTAGCTGCCTATCTTCTTCGATTGCAAAAACTGACATTCAAGTGTAGATGCTTCATTGAAATGCTATTTGTTCTTGTTTTTCAGTCTAAATCAAACTTTGATTGTTATCATTCTACCAAGAGAACTTGGCATGTGTTTGGTGTCCTTTATCAATTCTCAGTTATCATTCTGCCAAGAGAACTCAGGCACTTCTGATGTGTACCATGCTAAATGTTGCACATGCACAATACTGGTTCATGTCTGATCTAGCCTGTTATCACAGATGAATAAACTTGCACTTTATGGATTTTTTTCCCTGTGAAGCATCTTACATCGTGAGGTGCTTTTAGTTGAGAGTTCTGTCTTCCTAGTTCTGTTTGTTATGTCAAATTCCTTGGTCACAATAAAAATTGAGTAATAAGTTCTGGTTGCAAATGTATACCTTGTATTGGAGTTGATTCTTTATCATCTGCATATGTTTTTCTTAATGTTCTTCCTCATGATGCCAGACTTGGACTTTATGTTCCACATGTTCTTTCTTGCTCGATACTGCAAGCTTCTTGAAGAAAACTCTTTCAGGGGAAGGACTGCAGATTTCTTTTACATGCTGTTGTTTGGTGCCACTGTTTTGACTAGCATTGTTATAGTTGGAGGCAACATACCTTATTTGTCAGAATCATTTGCAAAAATCATATTCCTGAGCAATTCACTGACATTCATGATGGTTTGTTGCTTTTTTGTTGTTTAGATTCAAATATCTTTTCTGGTAACCCCTTTTTTAGTGAACTTTTACCATTTCTTTTCTTTTTCATCCATCCAGGTTTATGTCTGGAGCAAGCAAAACCCTTTTATCCACATGAGTTTCTTGGGGCTCTTTACTTTCACAGCAGCTTACTTACCATGGGTAAGTAAGCTTCTGCTAATACTGCATGTGGTTTTTTTTTACATAGTCATTTGAATTTGTCTCATAACAATAACATGTACTTCTGCCTGCCATCCATTTGTAACTGCTATTGTATTCACTCACAATCAAACTGGTATATGAGCTGTCCTAATTAGGGTTCTGATTATGGTGTGTTTGAAGTTGGATTAGCTAGAAAGTCAATCTATAAGCTGATAATAACACTGTTTTTCTCCCTCGTTTTCCTCCAGGTTCTCTTGGGATTCTCTGTCCTTGTTGGTGCCAGTGCTTGGGTGGATTTACTGGTGTGTTTTCTGTGCTAAATATTCTCCGTAATCAAAATTTCAATGTTTGTGTTTTGTGTTTCATGCATTTTAGCAAATTCTTAACTCTGTGTGCCCAGGAAGTATCCAAGTGGCTGTAAAATTGTTTGCATGATTGTTTATGAACTTTATTAGTCCTCGTTTCAACAAACCCTAGTTGTTCTGTCGTGGTTGTTTAGATCTCCGAAAGAAACTTGAATCCATATTGGGTGCATAACCTTCACTGACCTCTCCCCATCATTTACCCAAATAATAGGAAGAAAAAAGAAACGGCAAACAGTATCATGTTTTTTTATGCTGTTTGCTGAAATAAGCCATGCCCCGCTTCACTTTAATTCCCCACCACCCAACACTGATTGATTGGCTAACCTATTGAATGACCAAGGACTTCCACTTTTATCCAGATGCGATAAAATTTAAAGGTCAAGAAGTATTTTTGAACTCAGATCAAGTTGGTGCCATTAGAATGTGTGGTTACTCTAGGATTATCTTATTTGTTACATACAACATCTGATATTCGATATTGCAGTCTCCTTCAATTTGGCTGCCTAATAAATCTCTCAACTCTCTGGTTTTAACTATGACTTTTCTGATGCAGGGGATGATAGCAGGTCATGCTTACTATTTTCTTGAAGATGTATATCCGAGAATGACAGGTCGCCGGCCCCTACGAACCCCAGGATTTATAAAATCATTGTTTGCAGATGAGGCTGTTGTGGTGGCACGGCCAGCAAATGTGAGATTTGCTCCTCCACCTGCAGAGGAATTTCACCAAGATTGATCAGATACCCAGAAAATATAGGCTGATGATTGGTATCTTTTGATTACAGTGGCCTGCCCTTTAAAAGTAGAGGGAAGTATGGTTGGGCTTAGTTCTTTACCTGACATGTCTTCAATTCAGAGATTAACTATGTAAATGATATCAGTGCTGCTGCATTTTGGAGACAAGTTTTTGTACTTATGTCAGGAATAGATGCTTCCGGTTGATATAGAATCTCTCTCTTTTTTTTTTTGGCCTTTTCTTTTGTGCATTTCGTATGCTCTATTAGATATACAGCAAATTTGATGGTTCCTGATCATTTGTCATGAAAGAGATTCTATAACTCTGGACTTTTGGTCTCCGGTGGATCGCCTGCAAAGAACAGGGTAAGAAACGTTGTATTGAACCTTTTTGGCTCCTTGCTGAATGCGTCAGGGTGGGTCTTGCCTATGCTTGGAGAAAAACTGTCAAGTTTTGCTCCTGGAAAAAGGTCATTTTGCAGCTGCAAAAAGATACCTTGTTTTGGTCTGGATTACCGAAGCAAATTGTCCAAGTAGAGCCTCAGCAACATAAATGAAAGATCGTGCCCTCAACAGTTGTAAGATTGGAAATAACAATTTTGCATACCGTCAAAGCAAAATGTTAACCAAAACCTTAGATAGATCCCTCTATGAGGATACAAATGATGCAGGAAAAGTCAACCACATCGGGAAAATAAGGGAAAAAAGGATACATCATCTCAATGGTTTGTTAAGATGCAATACAACAGCAAATTGAATCTCTACAAACTGACCGTCAGCTACCCCAAACTACAGAAAATTTGCTTTCAGCAGATCCTAATCAAATAAACTGCATACAAAAGTATCAAACTAACGCCTCAAATCTTAACCCATTAAGACTTCAAATCTTCCTTTCAACAAGCTGCAATCGACTGAGTAATATACATTCAAAAAGAATCAGAGCCATCATGCGCCAGGCCAGCATAGACATCTGGATGTCTTGTTAGCTCTCTTGCATGCTCAACTCCAACATCAACTACTGTTAAACCAGACAGGACCCAACTGTTCTGGGGAAAAAGAACATTAATATTAAAGAAACATTGCTGGCTAACGAATTGGGTGATATTGTGCTGATATTCTCTTAGGAGGCAACTTCCGCAGGATGTAGAGCACTAGAGCTGACGGCAGAATCTCAACAAGCTGTAATTTTGAGCAACAAAAGTTTCATATAAAAAATAAAAGCCATGGAATGCAGCTTATATGGCTAGAGCTTATTTACATGTATAAAGAAGTGTAATAGAATACCAAGTAATAGATCAAGTTCAAAACCGGATGATCCAGAACATCAAGGGAGGCATCTGCCTCAAAAGCAGATAGAAGAATCTGCATGTTTGAAATTGAGTTAAATAAAAACCTGTATGATTAAGAACACAGAAGTTCCTCAGAAAGCACATGTGAAAGCAGTATCACCATATCACTATCCTCCAGATTCTAAAGCAAAAACAATTTAAGATAATAGTATTTGACCGCATGATGCTACTCTGGCCAGTCAAAGAAAATGTAGATTCATGCACTCCAGCATTGCAGTCATTTTCCCAAGCTTATTAGTCTCAGAATTTATTGAATAATCACTCCTAACTAAATTAGTATAAAATGCATGAAATAGGTAAGGTGGAGTTTCTTTAAGCTCTACAATATCACAATTTGGTAAAGTATCTAAAAGAGCTTCCAGAAAACATAAATCAGGGTCAAGTGCTATTGAGGTTTACCACAAAACATCTGATAAGGAAGCAAGTGAAGCATATGGCTGTAACTGATCCAACCTGCAACGGAGCAAATATTACATCATCATACTAATTTAAACTCAAATGATAAGTTCATGCAGGTTTTTGTGGATGACTGGAATGTCTATGAAATATCTTTCTTCCTACAAAAAACTGTTGTTTTTTCTTTTGGCTTATTACATTCTGAGAAGTTAGGTTTGCCATGATAATGTAATTTTAAAAACAATTATCCAGGAAAGAACTAATTCAGTATAATTATCTGAACCGATTCCAATACAAAGATACGCTCCCCTTGAGATCACACACAGAGACCATGTCCAAGGAGAGTTCTCACACTCAAAAACCATTTCAATGGAATGTTACAAACTTGCAATCACCTAATAGATATGATTTTGACTAGACATCTATATAAGAAGGCAGATTTCAGATACATTGCAGCCTTGACAACACTGCACTTATTTCACAAGATTGATGAATAACATGCAAAATATCATAAATGGATAAGAAAAAGTCAAGAGCCACAATGCAATTAATCCAATTACGTGTTGTCGCATGATAGATGGGTCTAAATTAAAATCAAATAAAGTACGAAGGAAATGCACCAAACCTCATGAAGCTTCTTTCTTCTCCCTTTAGATTCAATAGGGAAGCGTCTGAGCATAAAAAATAATCTGGAAGAATGTCCATTCCAATCCACAGGAAGAAGACACAAAAAACCAAAGCACAGAAATGAAATCTACATAAGTAAACAAAACCAGACATCTCTAGATATCTAACTACCATAATCATCAAATATGATGCAGAATACTCACCTTCCACCATACACCAAGAAACCTAATGCAGCTATGATCGACACCACTGAAAAAAGAAAAACATATCATTAAGTATGTACACACAATTAAGAGAAAATGGCACACTAGAGCTTTAATATCGGAAATGGAACTGAAGAACTTGTCCATGTGGGATACAAGACTTGACCTGCAACAAATATCTTTCCAATTAATTCCACAACGCTGTTGTCATCTACCCAAAGGTAGACCCAGATGCAAACCTGATTCAAAAGTTCATTATGGTAAGACACTTGATTGAAACATGGCATGATTAATTAGTTCAGCACTGTTTATGCTAGGTAACTATTGACAACTATTGGTACAGCTACAGCAACACAAATCATGTTCATTGAGAGTCTTAGACAGTACAAAACTTTTCCCCATCACTCACCTCTATCACCTTCCCATGGTAAAAGATGGAGACTTAGGCAAATGCTCAAAGAAATTCAAACTAGTCTAGTGCTACAAGAATAGGAAATCAGGAAAGTCACAAAAACTCGGGTACCCAATGTGTTGGAATGCATGAAAGCAACATCTTTGTCCAGTTTCCAAAGTTGCAAAATTGTTAAGTGTTCGGTTTGTGTACATTCACCCATGTCATGCTGCATCAACCTGGGCAATTTGGTACGTGCACTAAAACTTCACATAACGTAAGTTTTTTGGAAACAGCTAGCTAGGACTCTTTTAGACAAAATGCGATAGATGTGCCAGAGAAAAAAAGAGTAGAAAGGAACGATAGGTGCTGGCAAAGATCCCAGAGGAGGCCAGCTGCTTAATACACCCCTTTCTATATCATCAATACAGTAAACTTAATAATAATATTTAGCATACCTGAATGAAGTACACTGCAGCATTGACCGAAATATAAACAACCCTAAGCTTATCTGTCGGCAAACTTCTCGCCTGGTAGTTAATAAAACCAAGCAAAAATTTAGAAATTCCTCAAATCATTGACCAACTAAGCAAAAGTCCAGGTAACTAACCCTAAAGTTCTGAAACACCAACCCCAATGTACAAACTTGCCTGATGATATATCTCTGCCCAAAATAGAACAAGCAGAGTATACGTAGAAAAGAACAGAAGTCCCGGTAGATCCAATAATAGCAAAACCAATGCCTGCTCCAAGAACCAATTATCCTTCATCAGCACGAAATTCAAAACCCTAACATATTCTACATGCCATCTAATTCAAAAAAAAATTCCATTTTTCCATCAAAATTCGAACTAAAAAAAAAATTGAAGAAGACTAACCTTAGGATGCATAATAAATACTTGTTTATGAAATCCAAACACAATCGCCCGCACTACAAATTTACAAATTTCCACAAAATTAACAAAAACTATATAAAGTTAAATAACACACTAAAAATTTATCAAAAAAGCAAAAAAATTCACCTCCGTTAACGACAAAATTCATGAGATGAAAAACTTTCTGCGTCGTCCATCCATACTCTGGCACTCTCAATTCAATCCTAATTAATTGAATCTAAGGAATAAAACCACAGAAAATACATTCATTATTCCAAAAATAAAATAAAAAATCAAAGACGCGCGTAAGCGCAAATACGAACCAAAGCAACGGCGGAAACAAGAGCGTAAGCACCACAAAGAGCGTAGAAAATTCCGTCTTGCCATTCAGTCGACTCGTTGATCTCTTCCCACCAGTCGCCGACCACAGCTCCAATCCCCATGGCCGGTAGCTCCGCCGGTATTTTAATTAACTTTCCCATTGGTTTTTTAACAAATTCTACCTCAAAATCACAAAAAATATATATATATCTGAAAAAAAATATCTCTACCAAAAAAACATGAAAAAAAGGAGAAAAAAGACTGGGAAAATTTAAAAGGAAGGGAACAAAGTGGTGTGGCTTCTTTTAGTATTCCTTCTACCAGACGGTCTTCTGAAGAAGAGAAGAAGTACCTAAGCGTCTAGAGATAGAGAGCTCGAGAGTATCGGATTTGGTGGTTCCTTTTACAGATTGAGTAAATTATAAACTAGTCCCTATCGTTTAACGAAACGAATTAATTAGTCTCTTTTTTTAAAAACTAATAATTTAATTCAATTTTGACAAAGCTGCTCTTTGACCTATACTCATATAGAAATATATTTTGATGCTTAAGAAAAAATAAAAGAAATAGAGATTATTAAAATAAAAAGCGAAGATTTGAACATAGAAGACTTGAAAAGAGAAATGAGAATTTATTTTGGTACTTGAGAAAAAGGAAAGAGAAAAGATTTATGTGGAAGAAAGAAATAATATATAAAAAATATTACAATAAGGATATTTCCTCATTGTTCTGACAAAAAAAATGATAAATAATTAAATTATTGATAAAAATTAAAGCATAAAAAATTAAATGATTAGTTTTTAAAACAAGAATAACTAACTAATTTATTTCTTGAAATAAGATAGATTATTTTATAATTTACTAAGTACAGTTTAATTTCAATTGGGATAAATTATATTTTTATCCTTTTGTTTATGTTTCACTTCTATTCAAGTGGTCTATAATTTTTCAACCCTACATTTTTGGGTTGGTTTTAAGGTTGCAATGGAAAATAAAATTGAGTTTTTCTATATATATATATATATAAAAAAGAACGACACTTGTTAAAAAGAAATTGAGCAGAAAAATAGTTTGATTGCATTGTTATGCTAAAACGATGATCCAAAATAGTGGATTATAAATATTTATTCAATAATGTAAAAAATAATGCAATAATTGAAACATTAAATTTATGTGAAAAGGACATAATAAGATTATAAGTTTTAATTTTAAATAAAATAAATAAATTGTTAATGTTACATCCAAATATATTTTGTATTTATAGACAACTCCAAATGTTTTTATTTATTAATTTTCGTTTATTTGTCACCTCAACCCCTCGGATGTGTTACTAGATCTCATCATAACACTTAAAAGTCTAAAAAAATTAAAAATAAAAATAAAAGCTATTTGATGTTTAGGGGGCGTTTTGAAACTTTGTGGAAACGAGAAGGGTAACAGTGGACAATTTTAAAATACAATGGTATAGGTAGAAATTTATGAACAATCAGGGGCAACAATGAAGTTTACCTTTTAAATTATTGTTTACACGTGGGTTCAGTCAATTGATTGTTTATTTATAGCAATCATGATTAATGTATCCGGGTTTGGATTAGGTGTTGGTTTTTGAGTTAATTTCGGAAAGGCCACTGTGAGCGGCAGTTTGCGCTGGCGGCGGCGAAAGGGTTTTAACTACTCCCAATGTGTCATGTGAAATTAATGAGGTTTGTTTGTCTTTTTATTGAAGTATTTATTAATTTTAAATTGGAAATTAATTAGACCAGTACAGTTCTGTCCATCAATTTTTTAAATTTAATTTCTCATTGGATTTTTCATTAAATTATGCATACCTACGACCACTGGCATTGGCATCGTGGTGCTATATAAACTGTATTACGGTATTTTTTTTTACTTATTTTGATAATTTCAAATATATTTTATGAAATTATGTAATTTAAACATTTAAATATAAAAAATTAAATAAATTTAATCTAAATTATCTAATTCTCATTAAAAATAATGATCACCTATCTATTAATCGTTACTTAAATTTTTCTTTTTGTAATTGAAGTTAAAAAAAATTGAAAAGTTCAAGACATTCGAAATATCGAGATGATTGATATATCAATTAATTAATAAATATAAAATTCTCACACACATATATGGTAGTTATTATTTTTTTTTTATGAAATACCATTAATTGATTTATATGAAAATTTAGTATAAAAAATAATTTGTATATCATTTTGCAACTTCAAGATCTTGCTATAAAATTATAAATCCTGATGAATTTCTTAATTCAAAGATAGATCGGAAAATAAATATGGTTTTTATGTTACTATAATTTTTAGTCAGTAAACAGGCATGAATTAAAAAAAAATTGAAAAACAAAACATGTAATCAAATCTTTTTATCCTTTATCCTATTTCTGACGGATCCAAAATTGTTTTTGCTTATAAAAGGCCCTACAAACTTGCAAAGCAAACAAAGAAGAAGCCACCTAATCCAACCGGCAAAACCGCCCATGCGGCGGTCCACGTCAAGCAGTGAGGAAGTTTCGCGTCACAACCAGTTGAATTAGTACTTCTCGTCATTATCTGCTCTATTTATTCATGATGGACCCGCAGGTAAGGAGTCTCCAGCAGCATCTCCTCGTGTGAGACCAACTAACATTTTTCATTTTCCTACCACTGTCCTTTTCACCAACTTCCTTTAAATTTCAAAAATAATTAAAATTACAAACATGTTATTTTATATCAATATTAGAAGTTCACAAATTATATTAAAGAAAATACGAGTGTTGTCTTATTCGAATTGAAATAAATCATAAATTATACAAACATAATTTTGTTAGATCATTTCAAGAAACTAATGCAGAGTTTATATATATATATAAAAAAAAATTGTGTGATATTCTCGAGATAACTTTTATATAAATTAAAACTACATTTACTATCTTATAAATTAAATAAGCGGAAAAACATATTTTACTTTTAGTTGATTATTAAATTTTTTTAAATCAACTCGATTCAAATCTGATGCTATTAAAAAATAATTATAACTAATTATTCATAGTTAATAGGAATTGAATTTCAATATTTGCTAAATTAAGTCATTTTTTTCATTATTATTTTTTTTGTTAAACTAATATGCTTTTCAGAGAAGAACATGGGGAGTGCTTGTTACATGACAAGTGCATCACATGCATTTAAAACTATCCCAATTTATTGGAAATATAAAGTCTCGAGATAATAATTTCTAACAAATTCTCCAATTTTCACATGAATACTTGCTTGTTATAGAGAAAGGATAGTGCCACTCACGTTGGAAAATTTGGAGGGTGTGTTGGTAGATTTTCTTTCTTTTCTTGATGGATATATGGTCTTTCCACTCATAATATGTAGAACTCAATATTCGAGTACCTTCCATCTAAGGTATCTTGTACCGTTTCCTTACATAATAAAAAAATTATATTTTGTTCTTCTCAAAAATGCTTACCATAGCAATTTGGTTTCTTGAAAGAGTGTCTCTTTCTATATAATATGAATTTGGTTAACACGAGGCAAGTGTCATGCATTTGCCTTCGATATGAGCGAGTGATTATCTTAGTCTTTCAAATCATGGCATGCCAGCAATGCCTTGGGAAGAAATGGATAATGTTCATAAATCTATCACATCCACCGTGAATTCATAGCCATCAGTCTAATTTCTTATCAATCAAAAATACTTAAAAAATATAGAATTTAATTGAATTTAATTTCGTTTGAGATAAAAACTAATTTGAAAACATCTTATCTTATTCTTTTATGAATATTAAATGAAAAATAAATACTTCAAAAAAACGAATTTTTTATTAGTATTCTTATATATGAAATACGGATATAGTTTTGAAGGATTTCATTTTGATATGCGAAGAGAATATATTTAGCTCTTTAAATTCACGAATAAATATTATGAATGATCTTTATATTTACTGCGTGATATATAATTTCACCTTGAAATTAAATTTCATAATATTTACGAATATATAGATTTTAAACTTGGAAAATGCTATCCGGGGATCCGTGGCGCAATGGTAGCGCGTCTGACTCCAGATCAGAAGGTTGCGTGTTCGATTCACGTCGGGTTCAATTCCCTGACCGGATCAATCAGTTTTCATTCACTAAAGCCATCCTTAAATCACCACCGTCCATTTCCATTTCGGGACGACTAAACAAATCAACACATACATCTAACGATCTTTATCGTCTAGAACAGCAATTCTCCCATGCACCCTCAGCCACACATCCGTTTCCCAAACTCATGAATGCGAAATCTCTTCGAAGTTGTTTTGGACAAATCTGAAATTAGTATGTAAACTATAATTTATATCTCATTTAGTCCTTAAGGGCTTTATTTTCAATTAGGTTCCTAATGTTTTTTTTTTTTATATTATGTTTACATATGGATTCCATCTAAGGTACAATTATTATATCATAAATGTGAAACTATTTTGAAGAGAGTTTGATATTCTTAGTTAAAAATTGGTGAAAATTTTCAACAATAAAATATAATCGAGAACTTTCAAAGTTTTCAAAACTTTACGAAAAACAAAACTTATCAATTCGGTTTTTTTTTACCTCTCAAACTTTATTCCTTATTGCTCAAACTAAGTTTTTTTTAATCAATGATTTCTTATCCTCAGTCTTATTATGTCTTTGTTTTTTTTTCCCCATCCCTTTAGAAATTGATGGTTCTATTTAGCTCATTTGATTTGTTTTTGAAAAATATTTTACTAGGTCTTTTTTTTATTATTATTATTTGGTCTTTAATTATTTCAAGAATATTAAGCATTATGAATTGATTAATTAATTGATTGTTGATTTCATGTGATAAAGGTGGTGTCTATCACATTTTGAATATTTTATTTCCTTTCTAGGTTATTTATCATCCACATACTTAAAAAACTAGTTTCAAAATTTTTTTACATAATTGAAATTGATGTTATTTAGTGATATATGATACATTTATGACTTTAATATTCTTAAAATAGATGAACTTACTCGAATAATAGAGACTTGAGAAGCAAGTAAATAAACGATATCTCCGTTACGTTAACATATAAAAAGATATAAATAATATAATAAAAAGTACGGATAGTCATTAAAAATGTTGTTTTTCTCTAAAATAACTTTAGATTGACTTAACCATCGAAAGACTAATTAGATTCTAACTTCTAAATTAGTTTTTGTGAATTCAAGTTATAAAAAAGGATAAATTACACCAATCCATTAGCTCAATGTGAAATAAGCTTAACACTTGTCTTCACATAGAAGCATTGATTTGATTTTAAGTTGGAAAAAATAATAATAATTAAAGCTAGAAAGTATTTAAGGTTGTCATAAAACAATCAATCACATGATGAATGTTTTTTTTTTAATCGCTTAATCTTTTTATTTTTTTTATTTTTGGGTCAGTTATATGATGTTAAATTGTTTGCTAATTTAAGTTCAATTTCTATTAAAGAAGAATAACGCAATTATGAAAGAAAAATTGTAAGACTCAATTGAGATTTGATGTATAATTTGATTACTAATTTTAAATTTGTTCTCCTCTCCAACAAAACCCTCAAATCACCACCGTCAACCTCCACATTTTCAAATCCACACGTACCCATCATTGCCATCAAACATCCACCATCATCCCCATACACCCTCACCCACCATATCATTCCCCTAAAGCCCCAAACCCTCCACTGCCCTCCCTCTCCGGGTTCCCAAAATCACTTCACTTCCTCTCTCCACCAAAATGGCACTGTTCGCTCGCTTCCGCCTCCAATCTCTACACCTCCGCCACCACTACCACCACCAGCACCACCACTTCAACTTCTCCACCTTCCCGCTCTCGTCCACATCCAAAACACGCGCCGCCCTTTCTCTCCTCAAAACCGAAACCAACCCCGAAAAAATCCTCGAAATCTGCCGCTCCGCTTCCCTAACTCCCGAAGCTCACATCGACAGAATCACTTTCTCAGTCGCCATTGACAAGCTCGCCAAATCCAACAACTTCTCTTACATCGACGAATTCCTAACGGAGCTCCGCACTTCACGCCCTGATCTCCGCACCGAACGGTTCGCTGCTCATTCCATCGTCCTCTTCGGCCAAGCTGGCATGGTCGATCATGCGATTCGGCTTTTTAAGGAATACCACGAGGAGAATCAAAAGGATGCCGTTTTATCTTCTGGGTCAGTGAAAATATTGAATTCTTTGCTTTTTTCGTGTGTTGCAGCTAGAAAATACGATGAAGTGAAAAGGGTTTTTGTTGATTTTACCAAGAGTTATAAAATCGAGCCGAATTTGGATACTTATAATACTGTAATTCAGGCTTTTAGTGAGAGTGGGAGTTCTAGTTCTGGTTATTCGATTTTGAATGAGATGGATAAGAAGGGAGTGAAGCCAAATTCAACTACATTTGGGTATTTGATTACTGGGTTTTATAACGAACAGAAGTATGATGATGTAGGAAAAGTGTTGAAAATGATGAAGGAGGATTATGGGATAAATGGTGGGATTAGTATTTATAATATTAGGATTCTGAGTTTGTGTAAACTTAAGAGGTCGAAAGAAGCAGAAGCGTTGTTAGAAGGGTGTATATCGAGGCGAATGAAGCCGAATGCGGTTACATATAGTTATTTGATTCATGGGTTTTGTAAGGAAGGTGATTTGGAGGAAGCTAAGAGGTTGTTTAAGAGTATGGTGAATAGAGGGTGTAAACCGAATTATGATTGTTACGCTACTCTGGTTCACTATTTGAGTAAAGGTGGGGATTTTGAATCAGCATATAGGGTTTGTAAGGAGGGCATCGGGAAGAAATTGGTGCCGAATTTTTCAAGTATGAAGATGTTAGTGAATGGGCTTGCGAGCAGCGGGAACTTGGAGAAGGCAAAAGAGCTTATTGGGGAAATGAAGGAGCGGTTTTCGAAGAATGTTGAGTTGTGGGATGAGGTTGAAGCTGGGTTGTCTCAGTAGCAAAGGGGATATGGCAAGATTTTAGTTTGTTTGATAGATCAAGGGAACATTCTATGGGAATGAGAACCTATGCTAGTTTAGAGGAGATAACAGTTTTTCGTTTTTGGCTGTTGAATGTTTGAGCATGATTTATTGTTGAATGAAAATGTTGCTTTGCTTTGCTTTGATGAAGGTGAGTTTTCAATTTTGCGGCATCAGTTACTTTTTCTCCGTACTCTTTATATGTTTTATAAGCTGTCTGAAAGTTGTGGAATCTATCTGACTCTTGGCATTGAATTGATCACTTAACTCTGTAGCTTCTATATATGGGCCACAAGTGAGGTTGTCGCATTCAAGGACCTACATGGTCAGACCTGATCAGGCCTGAGATACTTTCTTTCCTTTTTTCACAACATATAATTTCAAAGTACAAGTGTGCCTTTGATTTTTGATTTTTTCCGTCTATTTTAAGCTTTTGCTTTGCTGAATGTCTACTCGTTTATCACAGCACTATGAATTATAGCTCGCAACATTAGCCCATCTGTCATTAAGTTTAGGTGACAGGTTTAGCTAATCATGGTTGGTTTGTGCTTTTGCATTTCCATTTTCATCTAGTTCTTTGCAACAAAAGTTGATAATCTTACATGTTCTGTTTCGACTCTCACTGATTTGTTTACCTCACCTTGCTGCTATAACTGTCAATTCTTCCTACTTGTTAATATATTCAGCTTATAAATAGCAATAAAGCAAAAGCTGATATCTGATTGCCTCAGAAAATCATGCATGTCATACTTTTATATACATGTAATCATGGCAGAAATTCCATACATGCATCTACACCAAACAAGTTAATCACGATGTTGAACTGAGATGACACATCGAAAGTGAAAATCAACAAATGATTTTGGAAAGTTATTCATCTCTAAGGCAAGTGTCATATTTTTGGATAGAGTATTATTAAATGCATAAGCTATAAATATTCTTCCTGTCCTTGAATTCATTGAGTTGCGGTGTGAGCCTGATGTTTTTCACCTTATGTTTAGTGTCAATACCTTGGTGATTAAGCTGACACCTTGAGGATCTAGCTGGGTAAAGCTACCAGTGTAGATATTTGGGTGGTCGGCTCCAAGTTTGACGTTTATAAGTTGTTTTCCTTCATAAGAGGAAAATGCCATTTCTCATCGACTGCTAGCTTAAATTTTCTGTTCAGGTGTTGATAAATTTGATGAGTTCGTACATTCAAGCCTGATGTTTATCACATTGTGTTCTGCATCAATACCTCGATACTCGGTGATTAAACTGACTCCTTGAGGAGTCAGTTTAGACTAACATATTCTTGTGATATAGCTAGCAAGCAGAGAAGGTGTTATTTCTAACCCTAAGTGGGTCTTATGAATCCACCTCTCCCCAAAAATTGGGTTCTAGTTCTGTTTTAATATCTTTGCTGCTTCCAACATAGTTTTGAAGGTTCCACCGTGTCTGGCTCCCATGTTATCTGTGAATTCCTTAACCTTTCTTGTAGCATCGATGCAAACTTTTAAGGGAAAAGAAGATGAGTTAAGAGTATCCAATGGTGATTGAATCTAACATAAGCTCAAGTATCTTATGCTGTTGATTGAGGATGCAGACCTCAAGCTGTCAACTCTTCTGCAAACATCTTTTTTGCATGCTGGCCTGTTCTTTTCCATGGAGCGCGACTAATGACTCACTTTCTGACTAGTATCTATTTCAAAACAAATTGAGTTTCATTACTGAAATGCAAAGCATGAACAGAAGATGTTAGTATAGTCTATGAAGACTTCCAACCGGCAGTCAATCTGTATATATAATTCATCAAAGGAATAGACTCAGAAGCTTTAAAAGCATTGATTTGAAATTAAAAGAACGCAGCAATAGATCGAAAGACTAGAACAGAATTTGAATAGACAGAGTTAATAGAACGATCTGCCTTGACATACCCCAAGGTGGTAGCTCAAAACACCAAGAATTGATTAGGATTGTTAGGAATGTTCTCGAGCATTGGGAGTAGTCTAAATTCGGATCGATCGATGAAAATTGTTTGGCCATAAGTGAAGGGATCATAAGCAATAACATCCATCAGTAACATTGTACCAATTCAACTTCCCATCATGTGAAACAACATTAGAATAGGAAAATTTATATTGGGGACCTAAAAGAAGAGTTTCGTTGCATTGTCCGGTCTCAGAACAATATAAATCCACCGAGAAATGGTGCTTTTCTACCTCAGAAAAGCATACCACCCGAAATCGACTTTCATATTGTTAACCCCCAACCCGTCTCTGATAATTCGGCTCACAAATCCACCCAAAATATTTTCGAGGCATCGTAATTATTTCGGGAGGGGGAGCTAAGAGATGCCATTGCCTAGAGAAGGGATTACAGATATAATAATGAGTGATATCATAGTCCTTGGTTTTGCTATGCAGAAGAGTAAATCATTGCAGGAAGCCTCAACAGAAACATTAAGATCAATGTCCTTTTCCTGTGGAACGAAGTCTAACGTGAATCCTTTGGGGATCCATAGGAAAGGGTTTCTCCAGTAAAGAACATCAACATTTGGCGATCGACTTTGAAGAAAAGACGACTTTGCAGTTGGAAGTCGAACTAGAATGTTAAGCAACAAATCGGCACTCAGATTGTCAGGAGAGACATTAATATTAGTTAATTTTGTCGATGATGATGATTCTTCTCTTCTTCTCTTTGCTGCTGCTGCCGCTAACAATTCTGATCTTTTTCTTTTTCCAGCCATGATCATTTTTTTTGTTCTCTTCTGTAGTGAGTTTGGCTTTCTCCTTTTCTCTACTGTATATATAAAACATTCTCAACCTTCTCAAAATTTGGTGTCATTCAAGGACAAGGATTCTTAAATATCCGAACTGGAAGAGGTTTCTACGTAAGCTTTTGGCCAAAGTCATTCTGTTTTTCACTCGGATTATTAATCATGCAACCTGCAGGGTAAGTCCTTTTGAGGAAATTGGTCTGACACAATTTTATGTTGAGATATAAGTTTCTTTCTTCTTGTTAGTTCAGGCTATTCGCTCACACGCAGCTTTCATGTACTGCGATGACTAAGCACTTTCGCAATCAGATCTCAAAGAACCAACTCTCTGGGAGATTCCTTCTCAACTTACAAGTGTGCCTTCGATTTTATTTTTTCTTTTCCGTCTATATTAAGCTTTTGTTTTGCTGAACATCTACTCATTTATCACCACACTATGAACTATAGATCGCAACGTTAGCAAGTCTGCCATTAAGATTAGGTGACTGCTTTAACTCATCACCATCGATACGTGCTTTTCCATTTCCATTTTCATCTAGTTCTTTGTGACAGAAGTTGATAATCTTAGTTCTGTTTTGACTCATTGATTTGTTCCTACTTGTTAAGAAATTCAGCTTCTAAAATAGCAATAAAGCAAAAGTTGATTTCTGACTGTCAATCCAGAAAGTAGGAAATAGTCAATAATTAATGTCACCCAGTAGGAACTCTTTTGTTGTTGGAATGCGATGGCAACATATGTTATAACCCAATACTGACTAGTAATAGAGATTCTTGACTCTTGTGGTCACTAATATATGGCCGGCATGTTATGTTGATAAATTCAGACAGCAGATCAAAAGTTCTCAGATGATGTCATAACATCAATTTTAACTTTCATCGAAGGGAATAGAACCTATGGATGCTGGAGCATGCGTTTTGATGACTGTTCTAAGAATCTTTGGTTCAATTTCTATCTCTAGTCCATCCTTGAAATTTGGCAATGGATCTCTGGAAAAAGGAATGTCTGGGCAACGGAGCTTCCATGTGAACCTGTTCACCAGGTAATGTATTGTAATCAGAGTTTCAAGTCTTGCAAATTCATATCCAGGACATATTCGATGTCCTCCGCCGAATGCCACGAAGCTATATGGGGGAATACATGCTTGTTTCTCGAAGTGTCTTGGATCAAACTTTGATGGATCTGGGAAGATGCTCTCATCCATGTGTGTCATGCAGGCTGACCAAGCTACCTGAGTTCGAAAGTCCAAACCTTTAGCATGTAGCATGGATTAAGTTATAGCGACAAGGAAACAAGCATGGAACTGTGTCACAGCTCACACCTGCCATCCTTTGGGAATAAGGTATCCTTCATACTCGAAATCTTTAACGACCTTCCTGAAGGAAATAAATACAGGAGACATCATCCTTAGAGATTCCAATGCTACTCTCCATGTGTACTTCATTCTTGCAAGATCGTCCCATGTTAAAAGCTCCCCAGAGGCCTTACTCTTGGCAATTTCATCTTGTTCTGCAGTCTCACATTTTAGTAATTGCCATGAATTTGTATGATGTTAATAAATCCTTATTGGATCTAATCTACATACCTTTCGATTTAATTAGCTTGATGCTTGCCTTGAACAATGCTGGCATGAACAGATGGATCATTGGCTAATAGCCCGATCAAGAAAGTGAGGAGGGTGGAAGAAGATGTATCATATCCTGCTATCATTATGACAAGAACATTATCTACGATCTCCTCATCAGATAATGCAACTGAATCATCCTTGTTTCGGAGACTAAGCAAGCTAGTGATTAGATCTCGTTGAGGAAAGGCGGTAAAATGCTCCAATGCAGCCCTTTTTTCATGAACGAGTTCCATGATGATTCCTCTGATTTTTTCTCTTGCTTGGAGGCTACGATTGAAGCTTGTGAATGGCAAATTGATTGGTACTGATAGAACACCCTTCAGCAGTTGTTGGAAGAGCTCTACAAGTATGTCTCTTTTCTCACCTTCTTGTACTCCGATTATCAGTGAGCTCAAAATGTTGAAGGTAAGGATCTTCATCAATTGCATTGCCTGTGTATTCAAGTGAAAAAAACAAATTGAAGGCAAAAAATTCAGTATGTTCAAGAATGATGAGAATTTAACCCTTGACTATAGAACCATCAAGGGATGTGGTGTAGCGGTAAGGAGGTTGTTTTGGTTTGGCCAAGACCTAGGTTCAATTCATATTATTCACAGATAACTAGCTATAATTATCTCTTAATGGTATCAAGTTTAAACTGATTTGGCCTAACAGGCAATCTAGTGGTCAGCAAAGGCTAGACGAATCTAGACGAATTCTGGCACTGGCCTAACTCGGAAAGTGATGGATTAGGAGTGGCGACCCGAAAGGTTTCACAGATACCCCACACCACTCCCTATTGATTTGTTATGTTTGATAAATTTGACATACCGAAACCTTACCTTCCGCTTGCCATGCCAATGCATCTCAAAAAGCTTCCTAACTTCTTCATCCATCTTGCCAACATATTGCTTTAACACTTCAGGCTTGAGGAACGGTGCAAGGGCTCCTCTAACACGCTTGTGCTCATCTCCATTCAATTCCAGGATATTCCTCTCACCACAAATCCTTCTTACTGATAATGGATGTTGATTGACAAGTGGGCTACCGTCACAAGTATAGATGAACTTGTTTGCAGCCTGTCCATGGAGGAACACCGTTGGGGTCCCAAAGAAGTTCATTTTTGAAATGGGGCCATATTTTCTTATTCTATCCTGAAGCCATCTATCTGCTGTGTTTCTGTGCATGGCACGTAGGAAGCTGAGGCTTTGGCCTATGATGGGTAGACCTAAAGAACCTGGTGGAAGCCTTTTAGAATCTTTTCTGGTCAGTAGAAGGTAGAGTGGGATAAGAAAAAGAAGCAAGGAGAAAAGGATTCCAGGATTCATTGCTCCTAGAATTATTGGTTTAAACTACTCAAAGTACCTAAGAGAGTATCACTCCTACTTACAGGAGACTCTGATTTAACAACACAACCCAACTTATAAGAAACTCTGATCCTGTCTCCTGTTGTTATCCTCACCAATCTACATGTATTCCTGCATTTTTGTCTTGGATAGTGCATCAACTTTACAACTTCTCTTAATCAAGCATATAAACTTCAATTTTTTTTCATTTGAGTATATTATTTTTTTCAAAATTTTCAATCAAATACTTCTATCCATCTTTTGGCCCATTATATGATGATGTGTTTTTTGACCATAACCTACTAAGTAAATAGACTTTAATTGTTCTCATTTTGGTACATCAACTTTTTTGATTGTACCAACCAAATACTAATGCCAACTTTTCATTTTTAAATATAGAACTTTTTTTTTTTTTTAATAAAAGTACCCTTTGATAAACAAAAAAATATTTTGAATCAAAATAATACTTTTTAAAAAAATTATTTTAATTTTTAATAAGCTACCCACATTTTAAACTGAAGAAAACTACTTTATGATTAATTAAGACTAATAAAAAAATTATTAATGCAATTAAAATATTTATATTATTAACCAAAGAAATGAAAATCAAGTCATTGCAAAATAAATGAAAAGTTTAATGAATTTTTATAGAAGTACTTGATTGGCACAATAAAAAAAATTGGTTTACCAAAATGAAAAAAACTAAAGTTTATGTATTTAATTGAAAAAAATTAAAAGTCGATGTACTCGCTATTACAACTTTATTTAACTAAAGGTTAAATAACAGGTTATCAAAAAATAGAGAAATTACCATATGTTAGATGAAAGCACTTGGTTGGAAGTTCAAAAAAAAATCCATGTATTCAAACAAATAAAAATTAAAATTCATATACTCAATTGAAAAAAATATAAAATTGTTATACTAGTAGTGTAACCATCCCATTTTTTTTTTTTTTGGTTGATGTTGATGCATAGCATTTGAGGCATGCATGCTCCAAATCATAGACAACAAGGATCTGAGTTTGAACCTCTCTATGAGATGCTAAATCAAACATAATTGTCGAAAAACGTGGCATGACAGTGAAATGTTCTTGAAACTTTGCCGGCAATGCATATAAATCCTTGTACTAAATGTCAATCAGGAAGACAAGAATAATCTTAAATTTGTATTAAACTTCTCTTGAATCCATGGATAAAATGATGGGCATTGGGCTAAGAATACATCATTGAGATCACGACACAAGAGAATGGAGTGCTCATCAAATGCGATGATCTTGACAATATTGTTTTTGAAAGAAAAACATCATCAACGAGTACTTATCACTAGATAAAACATCACCATCATCTTCACATTATCTAATCAATCATGTCTTGCAGAGAGTCATTTCTTTCTGAGTTCAGTATCATACACTGTTTCTCTCATGGACAGGCCTAGGATAGATGCCACATTCTTGATGGGTTATATTCTGTTAAAATTTTCTATTAAGTGCCATTATAATAAGAGAAGATCAAGAAACTTTCAATAAGCTCATGGTGGACAAGGAAGATGCAGCCCAACAACCAATTAAATCAGATTATTTTTCCCAAAGCTTGCATAATTAGCTAATAAATCTGCTACATGATTTTGCTTCTTCACGTTTTTCATAAGCAAAAGAGCTCGGAACTGCGTGGAGTAGTGGGCTGCATGTCCAAGGGAAACGAGTCTTTACTGACAAAATATTAAACAAATAATTTAAGAGATTTATTCGTTTGATCTTTCATGTTCCTATTTTTTTTTATATATTTTTACAGATAGTGGATATTTTTGTGTTAGTTTTTGGATCAATCAAGACTAAATCTACAGCTTTTTAAACTAGTCTAGCACCAGATCAAGCCTAGTCTTTGATTGATTCTAAAAAACCGAACTCTTTGAAATGTTCAGTACCACATAAAGAAGCAGGAAGCGATTTGCAAGTGTGAGAATCGAACTTCTGATCTGGCAATTCAAAAATATTTTTCTTAATACTCCACTTACAACCTTTTGGTAAAAGGGGAAAAGACAATGATCGAGGGGATATTAAGTTAACAAGGCAACGAACTTGAGGGGAAGGGTGAGTGTGCCTTTACCTTAAAGTGCACGTGGAAACATATTCATGCTTTTCATTTGCCGATTCAATGCTAATGGCGAAAGCAAGCTGGAGTTGAGTGACATTAAGAGTCTGATAAGGGATGCTAAGAGGAAAAGCCATTTCAGATTGCGCAAATGCAGTAAAAGGTGACGATGTGTTTCACTGGCAACTAATTACTATGGCCAGTTGTTGGAAGTATCGAACAAGGGCGAGGTAGATTCATATATGTTTACAAGCTGGTGTAGGATGGGCTTGGATGAAGCAAACATTGGCTGGGGAACGCCTGCATGGATGATTGAGGTCTGCGCATTAAAGTACTGCAGATATTAGTATTCTAAAGGACTCCACATAACTGTTTTACAGAACACTTAAAAAACACTATTTTTTTACATAATACATCTGGATGAACAATCCAGCAGTAGAATCTGTAAATTCCATAATGATTACGTTGCCGAGCAGAATGAAATAATAGCATCAGTTTTAAGTTCATTGAAGGAAACAGAGGCCAAAATTGCAAGAGTATGGGTTCAGTTGACTTCGACAGGGATTTTTGGCTTAATTTCTATCTCTAGTCCATCCTTGAAAGTTGGCATTGGATCTCTGGAAAAATTAATGCCTGGACAACAGAGCTTCCATGTGAACTTGTTCACCAGGTGATGTATTGTAATAAGAGTTTCAAGTCTTGCAAATTCATATCCAGGACATATTCGTGCTCCTCCCCCGAATGCTACAAGACTATATGGGGGGATTTTTTTCTCGAAATGGTTTGGATCAAACTTTGTTGGATCTGGGAAGAGAGACTCATCCATATGAGTCATGCAGGCTGCCCAGGTTACCTGAGTTAAAAAGTTGAGACTTAGTACAAGAGTACTATCATGTCATTTCGATGAAGGTAAACAAGCATAGAACTGGATCATACCTGCCATCCTTTGGGAATAACGTACCCTTCATACTCGAAATCTTTGAGGACCTTCCTAAAGGAATTGAATACAGGAGGGGTCATCCTTAGACATTCCAATGCTACTCTCCATGTGTATTTCATTCTTGCAAGATCATCCCATGTCAAAAACTCTCCAGAGGCCTTACTCTTGGCAACCTCCTCTTGTTCTGCAGTTTCAAATTTTGGTAATTTGCTAAGAATTTGTGCAGTATTATTCAATAGTTATTGAATTGATTTAGCTGCATACCTTGAGCAATGCCAGCATAAACAGCTTGATCATTTGCTAAGAGTCTAATCAATAAAGTGAGGAGGACGGAGATTGTGTCATGTCCTGCTATCATTATAGTGATAGCATTATCTGCAATTTCCTCATCAGACAATGCTACCAAAAAGTCCTCATTTCTGAGACTAAGCAAGCCGGTGATAAGATCTTGTTGAGGAAAGGCAGGTTGCTGTTTCTGTGCAGCCCTTCTTTCATGTATAAGATCCATGATGATCATTCTGATTTTTCGACTTGCTTGCAGGCTACGACTGAATCGCGTGAAGGGAAAATTGATTGGTACTGATAGAGCACCCTTGATCAGTTGTTGGAAGAGCTCTACGAGTACGTCTCTTTTTGCACCTCCTTCTATTCCGATTATCAGTGAGCTCATAATGTTGAAGGTAAGGATCTTCATCAATGGCATTGCCTACGTTATAATAACAAATATATCAGGTGCGCGCACACACACACACACAATATTGCCTATGATTTATAGTCAGTAGAGGTCAGAATTTGGGATTTTAACAATTGTGGTCATAGAATATTTTCAAAGATGTACTGGTATTTTCTTGTTTGATAAAATTGACATACCGAAACCTTCTGCTTGCCATGCCAATGCATCTCGAAATGCTTTCTGATTCTTTCGTCCATCTTCCGAACGTATTGCCTTAACACTTCAGGCTTTAAGAACGATACAAGTGCGCCTCTCACACGCTTGTGCTCAAGGCCACTCAATTCAAGGATGTTCCTATCTCCACAAATCCTCCTTACCGACAACGGTTTCTGATTGACAAGTATGCTACAATCACAAGTGTAGATGAACTTGTTTGCAGCCTGTCCAGACAGGAATACTGTTGGTTTTCCAAAAAGGCTCATTTTCCAGATAGGGCCATATTTTCTTATTCTATTCTGAAGCCATTGTTCTGCCGTGTTTTCACGCATGGCGTGCAGGAAGCTGATACTTTGGCCTATGATGGGCAACCCCAAAGAACCCGGTGGAAGCCTTCTTGAACTTTTATGTCTCAGGAGAAAGTAGAGTGGGAGAAGTAAAAGAAGCAAGGAGAAAAACATTGCAGGATCCATTGCTGTTCGCTACATTATTGGTTTTAAAGCAACTAGTATATATGAGAGATGTGGAAGTAAAAATTCTTCCCATGGAAAATTGGTTTCTCTCTTATCAGCAGTATTCTTCCATTTCTCTCTTGTTATCAACGCATTTGTCGATGGACCAAATCATAAATTACGAGGATTGGACAAATCTGAGTTGTCCTCAATAGTTTGTCATAAGGTGAATAGAATATCCAATCCGGCCAACTGGAGTACTTTAAGGTTCTGTACAAGAAAGTTGATATTATGATGCAAATGCCTTTTTATATATTTATTTATTTTTTGAGGGAACTATGTATGTGCGTATACTTCGGGCCGAGCTTTTACCATAGGCTTTACAAATCCCCAATCCAACATGCTCTAGCATGTAGATTCAAATAATAATCATCATATAACATAACAGTCGTTATATAACAATTTAAGAATATTTTGTTGGCGTTATTTAGCTTTATAAAGGCGCTATTGTCATTTTACATGAATAATGGTGTTACACTAAAAAACAACCTAAATTTCAATCTTTGCATTTGAGGTTTTCATTTTATCTCATTGCCGATCTATTATTATATTTAATTAATAAAACTGTTAAAAATATATTAATTAAAATAAATTTATTAATATTTGTTAATGTATTTGCGATCTCATTTTACTACTTTCATAAATTGCAATCTACAATCTTGATCATAAGTTTTTTTTTTTTTTTTTTTTTTTTTTTTTTAAACCACGTTCGCTGTTTAAAATTATGGGAGAACAGATTTAGTGTTGGGTTATCAAGGTGTTGTTAGAGGCCATAATTTTGTCTACATGTTTCTGATTTGTATAATCAAACGAAGCAAATTCGGAGAGGTTATATCAAACTAGTCTGTAGAAAATCAATGTCTGTCACTGGAATAAAGCCTTTGCAGGCAGGGCATATAAATCCTTCTACAAAATGTCAACCTATAAAAATAAAAATAATTGAGAATCACTTGTGCAGTAGTAATTTTCTTGCTGACGGCAAAGATAGTAACACTTGTTTTGGCATTTTATACTGAGACAACAAGAAGTTTATGTTCCTTATCTTGAAAATATTTGTCCTTGATGGAAAGGAAAAGACAATTTAAAAAAAGAAAAAACAACACAAGAAGAAACTACAAAATCACGTATTGTCAGCACTTTAACCTCTGCCAAGAATGTTCAGATTTTAGTAGTCCTGTTCACACAGAGAAGGTAACCCAAGAGTATGATGATCAATTTGACAGACAAAAGCAGCCCTGGACGGTCCGTAAGGACAAACTGGTGGCCCGACTTTAAACAGCTATAATTTTTTATTCCAATGTCCAATTGAGACTTGTAAACCCAATTTAAATAGTCGATTCAGAATTCTAAAGCTTGGGGATGCGTGCGAAGTGAGCAGAGGCCAGAGGGTATTACCCACCTCAAAAACCCTATCATTAGAACTAGTTGGAAATATCATATAAAGCATCTGCTTTTAACTTCTTTAGCAAGTAGACAAGTTTATTGGATTGTTAAATCAGACTCTAGTTTGCAATCACAGGGACCGAGAGCAATAAGGAAAATAGGCCGTGGCATGTACAGAGCAGCCTTTCCAAGAGATGTAGCCTAAGATAAAAAAGTTATTTTAGTCTGGTCGAGATTAAGGTTCAATTCCTTTTATTCACGAATAACTAAGCATAATCATCTCTTAGTAGGACCAGACTTAAACTGGTTTGGCCTAAGAGGCAGCCTAATGGTTGATAAAAAACTCAGCATATTATGACGTTAGTTTAGCCCAAAGAGTGATAAACTTAGTTTCGGTAAATGCAAAACTTGATCCGAAAATACTCCATTATATATATATATATATATATATATTGAAATCGATGGGTTATATTCATATTCTAAGGGAAAGAAACTTTGTTTGAGACTTTGCTAGCAAAACAGAGCATTGATAGAAGTTCCGGTTTGGTAGCATGGTTTCAATTATATTTTGGCATTTTTTTATTTCTGCTGCCAGTATCTTACTGGGTTTTGCATAAAAAAGATACATGTAAGAGTATGCATTTAGTTGACCTTGGCAGGGATCTTCGGCTCAATTTCTATCTCCAGTCCATCCTTGAGAGTTGGCAACGGATCCCTTGAAAAGGAAATGTTTGGGTGACATAGCTTCCATGTGAACCTGTTCACCAGGTAATGTATTGTGATCAGAGTTTCAAGTCTTGCAAATTCATACCCAGGACATATTCGGGGTCCTCCTCCGAATGCCAAGAAATTATATGGCGGGACGGATGCCTGTTTGTCGAAATGTTTCGGATCAAACTCTGATGGGTTTGGGAAGATACAGTCATCCATGTGTGTCATGCAGGCTGCCCAGATTACCTGAGTCAAAAAGTAGAAACTCATCAGAGTACTTATATACGTACGTTTTATCTTGTAGTACCGGTGATTAAGTTACAAAGAGAGGGGAAGCAGACAGAGACTTGTACCATACCTGCCAACCTTTGGGAATTACTTATCCTTCATATTCAAAATCTTTCAGGACCTTCCTGAAGGAACAAAACGCAGGAGGGGTCATCCTTAGACACTCCATAGCTGCTCTCCATGTGTATTTCATTCTTGCAAGGTCATCCCAGGTTAAAAGCTCACCAGAGGCCTTACTCTTGGCAATCTCCTCTTGTTCTGCAAGTCTCAAATTTTAGTAACAGCTATGCATTTGTGCAATATTATTTGGTATTTTATTGAATCAATTTAGTTGCATACATTGAACAATGGAGGCATAAAAAGATGGATCACTGGCTAGAAGCTTGATCAAGAAACTGAGGAGGATGGAAGTTGTGTCATGTCCTGCTATCATTATTGTCGTAGCATTATCTATAATTTCATCATCAGATAATACAACAGAATTGTCTTCATTTCGGAGACTAAGCAAGGTGGTGATAAGATCTTGTCGGGGAAAGGCAGTTTGATGCTCCAATGCATCCCTTTTTTTATGAATAAGATCCTTGATGATTGTTCTGATTTTCGCACTTGCTTGGAGGCTACGATTGAAGCACGAGAAGGGAAAATTGATCGGTACTGAAAGGACACCCTTCACCAGTTGTTGGAAGAGCTCTACGAGTATGCTTCTTTTTGCACTTTGCTCTATTCCAAATATCAGAGAGCTCATAATGTTGAAGGTAAGAGTCTTCATCAATGGCATTGCCTATATTGTAAAGAGAAAATACACAAAATCAGCTGTGATTTATAATCTGTAGAGGTCAATAACGAGGATTTTGACATTCACCATAACAAATATCAGTTTAAGGTGTGCAGATAATTTGTTGTTTGACAAAATTGACCTACCAAAACCTTCTCCTTGCCATGCCAATGCACCTCGAAATGCTTTCTGATTTCTTCATCCATCTTACCAACATATTGCTTCAATACTTCGGGCTTTAAAAACGATACAAGAGATCCTCTCACACGCTTGTGCTCACTGCCACTCAGTTCCATAATATTCCTCTCACCGCAAAGCCTTCTTATCGATGATGGCTGCTGATTAGCAAGCACAGTACCATCACAGGTGTAGATGAACTTGTTTGCAGCCTGACCATGGAGGAATATTGTTGGGGTCCCTAAAAAGCTCATTTTCCAGATGGGGCCATATTTTTTTATTCTATCCTGAAGCCATTGTTCTGCTGTATTGTTCTGCATGGCACGTAGGAAGCTTAAGCTTTGTCCTATGATGGGTAAACCAAAAGAACCTGGCGGAACCTTTTTCGAACTTATCCTGGTCAGGAGAAGGTATAGTGGGAGAATGAATAGAAGAAGTATGGGGAAAAATATTACTGGACTCATAGTTACTAGAAAAATTTGTGCTACTGTGATAGGTATGAGCAAATAATTAGTTGCAATCCTTCTTATAGGAACTCTGATTTTGTCTTTCTTTCTGATCTGCATTGGCTGTATTTTCACATTTCTCTTGTTGCTGATGCCTAGCATTCATCCATGCACCAAAACACAACAACGAGGATCGATTTGAAGCTTTCGTAATTAACAAATCAAAAATCCTTCAAGGTTGCCATCAGGCAGGTGGAATATCCAATGAGTAGGGCTAACAGTAACTTGAAAGTTCTATGAATGTAAAATATCATTAAATCCTGATGTAGACATATCTTTGATTAGTATTTAAAATGCCTAGCAAATTATGACAGATTACATAAGAGCAGCCAGAAGAGGATCATCGGAATCACCGGCAATGCATATAAATTCTTTCACAAAATGTTAAGACCAAAGGTTGTAGGTGAAGCGACAAAAAAAGTGTTTTTAACTCACCAGGTTAGGAGTTCGATTGTTACCATTGGTGAGCTCTTTCTTCTTTTTGTATGTAGCACTAGACATGAGTTGCTGATAAACTCAAAAAGTTCAATCCTTAGAATCGACCTAAGACTAAGCATGATCTGATACTAACCTAGCTCAAGAAGTAGAGACTTAATTTCGATTGAGCTATTGTTGGACTCGTCCAACCCCTAGAATTGACTTAAGATTAGACATGATCTGATACCGACCCAATCTAAAAGATAAAGACTTAATTTTAATTAACTCAAAGACTGATCCAAAGATATCCAACCACTTGTAATATATATATTGACTTGCTGGGTTTGTTGATAGAAACATATATACCAGCATGTGTTATCACCTAGTATTAATTTTTTGTGCTGACCAATGAAAACTCTTGGCCACTAATAAATGGCAGCAGGCATCATATATTGACAAATTCAAGCACCAGGAATATTCTGAAACCAGCCCAATATTATCCACTTTCTTAAAAAAATTGCCATCAGTTTATCATGGGAAAAAAATTTCTGACAGCAGAACTATTTCTGTAATTGGTAGGTTGCAAGCAGTTAAATATTTTTGTGTAAAAAAAAAAGGGCTAATAATCATTATATGGTCCCTCTACTTCTTCCATTTGATCAAATAAAATCATGTGCTTAAAATTGGACCAAATCAACCATTTTAATTAAAGGTGAATTCAGCCATTCCATACATGCATGGCCTCTCTACTTCCTAATTGAATGGACAAATGGATGCAATAAATAATGATGAATTGAAAAAGGTTCTTGAAATTGCCTTTCATAGGAAGTCAAGCGGTTGATTTGATGCGATTTAAGGTAGAAGGTTTGGTTTGATCAAATGTAAAAATAAAGGGATCATGAAAGATTTTTCGCCAAAAGGATGGGAAAAAATTAAGAGTAATCATCTAAAGACAATGAAGGAGGGTTAAAAATACTCCGCCACTACTAGAAGCAACACGCACTTAGTCTGAGAAACATTATCTTAATATATCACTTTAAAGATTTTTTTTCCTTCTAAAAAAAAAAGTCTGTTTTCATTTTCATGAATCACTCAAATCATATTAATTGGTTATTTTACAAAATTCTTTCAGAACCCATATATATCTCAAAACTCTTGCAAGAAGAATCATAACATAAAGATACACAATAATGGGGTTATCTGACGCTAAAACAGCTATCCTTCCTTTAATTATGACCAGCAAAACATGTAGGAAACCTTGTCTCTCCAACTAGTCATCGCTTAAATCAAAAGACAGCACAAAGTTACCAATTCCATCACCATGCACAAGCCAATAAAGTACCTCATTCAACAAAGCATTTTCGTAGCAAGTAAGAGTGGACCACATTAAAATCATTGGGATTCCAAGATCATTTAGCGAGTACCACTGAATTGCCTACCATTTAAATTCCATAGTCCAGGATTCGAAGTTTTTTGGATTGACGAATCGCACAGAAGGAGGCTGTGTATATGTACAAGGTATTCTAACAAATAATGCCATTACAAGAGCCAATCACATTGGAAGAAAATTCTGGAAAAGATTTAATATCTTGATGCAAGGAGAAGAGTTCTATTAGTTTCTCGCCAAAGTAAGAACTTGTGATAATGGAGTTTCATGATCTAGATACGCATCTGCATTGTGGCCAGAAATTTTTATGAGAATTTTATCTCAAAAAAATCATAAAAAAAAGCTCCATAAGTGCGGTTCCTAAAGTCTCTATTTTAATTGTCCCACAACTAAAAACCCATTAATTTCCTCTACCATCACAAAAAATATAAGCTCTTTTACATAATAAAACTACTGTTCTCTTCTTTCTCCTACGTGTTTTAAGAAAATTATAAACAAGAATTAAATTTATTCACTCTGACTCACTTATTCTCATCTTCCGTCCAAGAAATAATTTTCTTCCTCTCCACTATTGCTTTGAATTCTGTCAAATTTGTTTTTAAAACTAAGAATATTTATTTGAAAAAGTGTACTATTTTTAAATCAAATTTAGCCCATGTTATCAAATTTATTAATGATTTCCTCTAATGTCTCTGAATTCTACACTAAAAAAAAACTATAATCTATTTTTTTTTTACGCAACATCTAGGGCTCTTAGTAGAATTAGTCTCGTTAAAATTAAGAATATTTATTTGAAAAAGGGTACTATTTTTAAATCAAATTTAGCCCATGTTATCAAATTTACTAATGATTTCCTCTAATGTCTCTGAATTCTACACTAAAAAAAACTATAATCTATTTTTTTTAACGCAACATCTAAGGTTCTTAGTAGAACTAATTTGTTAAAATTTGAATCCATAACTTTTTACAAGAGACTATTGTCACTAGGCTACAAATTCTTTGATAAAAAAAATTATAATTTACAACTGTATTATTCCAACCTTGAAGAAGGTTATACTATTTGGGCGGCTAGTGGATGTCAATTAAAACAAAAACTCATTGAATTGTTATATTGATGTTCATTCGAATGATGTGGTGAAATGTAGTCATGTATTTCGGATGGATATATATATCATGCAAGTTATAGGAGTGTTAAGTGGATTAGACAAATGCACCCTTGGATAGTAAAATTTTATAATCAACGATTGAAAAGATTACCTCTTAAAAAATTTAATTATCAATTTGTAGCATAGTACTTCTCCTTGCATTTTAATCGCTCTCTATATATTTTTTAAAGCATGTATTTTGTCATCAGTTAAAATTTGTAGGGTAGAATACTAGTCAGGATCAGCTGCTGTATGTGGGTAAAAAGAGGTACCATTCTGACAACAGTATGTACGTGCAAGCATCTTAACATATTCTGAAAAACATGTATGCGTGTGTGCCTTTTATAATCTCACAGTACAGCATGTTCGATTGATCTATATATGTTTGATTACAAGCAGGGAGGTGGAATATTCAATCAGGTTATGGTTCGTTTCTAATGCTTCAGATCCTTGACCAGGTTAGGTTAGTACTGGATCACTCCTATTTAAACTTTGGTCGATTCTAGTGGATGGACTCTTCCAATGCCACACAAAAAGAGGGAGGAGCTTTCCAACAGTTGCTTCTTTATGTATTTAACAATCCTTCAAACAAGGAGATGGACAGAAGATCCCCATTTCTGGTTTTGATGTAAAATAATGTCTTCAACAGCACCATCTGTGCATACTGTAGCTTTTTAGTAGTTGAATACAATGACCTCAATTTATTTATATTCGAGTTTCAATTATTTAGTTGACTTCGCCAAGGAACTATGGCTAAATTTGTATCTCTAGTCCATTCTTGAAAATTGGGATGGGATCTCTAGAAAAAGAAATCTCAGGGCGACAGAGCTTCCATATTGTGGACCTGTTTTCCAGGTAAGGTATATTGTAATCAGAGTTTCAAGTCTAGCAAATTCATATCCGGGACATATTCCAGGTCCACCTCCAAATGCCACAAAACTTTTAGGAGAGCCTGATGCTTGTTTCTCGAAACTTTTTGGATCAATCTTCCGTCCATTGGTATCTTGCACGTTGCCCAAATTACCCAAGTCAAAGAGTTGAAACTTTAGTTCAAAAATTCATTATACTGGCGATTGATCAACAGCCATAAGTGAGTATCGAAAGGTCAGTATCACTAATGAGGAATGGGATGGTCACAATCCCCATGAACATTGTAGACCAAGAAAACTTCCTCTAAGCATACAAGGAAGACCAGACAACCTAATATTGTAGAGTGTTAGAAAGTAATATAAATTATATCTTAGAACATCATTTAACGCCTTAAACTTTTGGATTGAGATTGCTGTGATGTGTTTTCATGCAAGGTGTGTAGGAAGCTGAGAAGTAGGCCTATGATAGGTAAACCAGAAGGACCTGGTTGAAGCATTTTCGAGTTTTGCCTGATCAGGAGAAGGGAAAGAAGCAAAAAGAAAAGAAATAAAAAGGATTGTTCATAACTACGATTGATTGATGTACCTTATTACATAAAACCCAGTTATATTGGATGCGAGAAGGAAGATTATGAGAAGCAGTACATTTTCCTTTCCCCTAAAATCATAACATTATTGATTTTGAACTTTCCACTGAAGGAAAAGGAGAGTATGTTCTTAGGAGTCGCATTTAGTTATCTTTTACAGGGATCTTTGGCTGAATTTCTATCTCTAGTCCATCCTTGAAAATTGGAAGTGGTTCTCTGGTAAAAGAAATGTCTGGGCGAGAGAGCTTCCACGTGAACCTGTTCACCAGGTTATGTATAGTAATAAGAGTTTCAAGTTTTGCAAATTCAACTCCAGGACACATCCGAGCTCCTCCTCCGAATGGCACAAAACTATATGGAGGAACTTGCAGTTTCGAAATGTTTTGGATCAAACTTCGACGCATTTGGGAAGATGTTGTCATCCATATGTGTCATGAAGTGTGGCAACATTACCTGAGCCAAGAAGTTGAAACTCAGTACAAGATTTATTTGTTGTGAAGCAATGCAATTAAGCTACATTACAGAATTGTATCACACCCGCCATCCTTTGGGAACTAGGTAACCTTCATATTCAAAATCTTTTACCACATTCCTGAAGGAACAAAACGCAGGAGGGGTCATCCTTAGAGACTCCATTGCTACTCTCCATGTGTATTTCATTCTTGTGAGATCATCCCATGTCAAAAGGTCCATTGAAGCCTTGCTCTTTAGAATCTCCTCTTGTTCTGTAGTCTCAAAGATTAGCAATGTTAGGGATGAATATGTGCAATACCATTTGGTGTTTTATAGAATAAAAAATTTTGCTTCATACCTTGAATAACACTGCTATAAACAGATGGATTAGTGGCTAAAATCCTGATCAAGAAACTGAGGAGATTGGAGGTTGTGTCATGGCCTGCTATCATTAGAACAGTAACATTATCAACAATCTCCTCATCGGATAATACTACCGAATTGTCTTCGTTTCGGAGACTAAGCAAGGTCGTGATAAAATCTTGTTGACGAGAGGCAGTTACATTCTGTAATGCAGCCCTCTTCTCTTGAAGAAGATCCAAGAGGATCGTTCTGACTTTTGCACTTGCTTGGAGGCTTCGATTGAAGCGTGTGAAGGGCAAATTGATTGGTAGAGATATAATACCCTTCATTAGTTGATAGTAGAGCTCAATGAGTATGTCCCTTGTCTCACCTTGCTCTATTCCAATTATCAGTGAGCTGATAACGTTGAAGGTAAGGGTCTTCATAGATGGCATTGCCTACGTTGTTAAGAGAAAACAGTAAGATATATCTTATCTTACATATGATAAAAAGGCACAATAATACAAGCAGGTTTAGTTTCGTGGTTGCTTACGCGTTAATTTTTTCTTTGAAAAAATTCGAGTCTTAATAATTTTAATTTATTTTGTTATCATATAATAGAAAAAAAAAAAAAACTATCATCTATTGTGTAATCCAAGATTTACGAGTCTTTCGATCAACTGAAAGAAGAAGAAGCATGCAGACCCCTACCTTCGAGGGACTAATTAATTAGATTTTGAAACTTGAAAGACTGTTTTATTCATTTTATAAAACTAGAATGACTAATTTATAATTTACTCACATTTACTTTTGGGAACGATTTTTTGTTTTTTGTTTTTTAATTTCAAAGAAAATCATGATAATCATTATTTGGAAAGACTAATTAGATAATAAAGATAAAAAAAGAAAAAGAAAATCATAGCTAACATTATTTTCATATGATGATACAAACATGGGAGTAATAAAAAACAAAATCTTCATTATTTGAATTGAAGTGAAAAAAGAAAAAGAAAAAGAAAATTATTATCTAATATCCCTTATCCTGATTTTTTTCTATCGGAAAAAATACTTTTCGATCACAAAGAAAAAAGATTAGAAATAATAAACAAAAAAGTATAAGAAAGAAGGCCACGCTTTTGGGGAAGCAGATTTCCTAATTAAAAGAACCACAATCACAAATTAAAAATGAAAAATAAAAAATGGTCTATACAAACATCATATTAAATATATATAAAAAATCTTAAGTTAGCTAGTTTTCCTATTATATATTATAAAAAATCTCCTTAGTTAGGTCTTTTTTTTTTTATTAATCTTTTGTGTCTGATTTTACTAATTTGGGATCATCAATAGTTTTAGTTGACAGAAAAAGAGTATCACATCATTAATTCATAAATGAAGATAGATGGAAGATGGATATTTTTTTTTTTTGATAAAATTGATAAAAAGTAAAACAAAATACCTACATAAAAAAAATTGATAAAGAAAATAAAAGAGATCATTATTATTTTGATTGTTTGATAAAATTCACATACCAAAACCTTGCTCTTGCCATGCCAATGCATCTCCAAATGTCTTCTAATTTCTTCATCCATCTTACCAACATATTGCTTTAAAGCTTCTGGCTTTAAAAACGATAAGAGTGCTCCTCTCACACGCTTGTGCTCATGGCCACTTAATTCCAGGATATTCTTCTCACCGCAAACCCTTCTTATCGACAACGGTTGTTGATTGTCAAGAATGTTGCTGTCGCAAGTGTAGATGAACTTGTTTGCTGCCTGCCCATGGAGGAGCAGTACAGGGGTCCCAAGGAGGCTCATTTTCGAAATAGGGCCATATTTTCTTACTCTATTTAGAAGCCATTCTTCTGCAGTGTTTTTTCGCATGGCACTTAGGAAGCTGAGGCTTTCCCCTATGATTGGTAAACCAAAAGAACCTGGTGGAAGCCTTTTTGAGGTTTTTGGGGTCAAGAGAAGGTAGATAAAGAGGAAGAAAACAAGCAAGCAGAAGAACATTTGGGTGATCATAGCTGCTAAGGATTGATGCAAGCTCAACTCTTAGGCTATTTGGCTCTTGTTGAAATAATTAGAGGGTTGCTGGACTTGAAGTTACTAAAAGAATTTGTGCTACTAAGATATTTATGAGAAAATAATTAGTAGCAGTTAATCCTTCTTATAAACTCTTGTTGTGTCTCCCTTCATTGCGAGTTATGGAAAAAATATAAAGAACATTAATGAGTAATTTACTTCTTTTTGTAATTCAAATATGGTAATGTAATCTTAATATTTTAGGCTTGGATTTTTATTTTGCTTAAGTTGGTAAGTGCTTGATCGAGGGATTTGCATAATCTAGGAATTAATTTTTATCGTATTTACTTTCTATGTTTAGTTTTACGTTGAATAATGAAAAATTGAAAGTTATGCGGTGTTTTCTTGAGAAATTTTAAAATATAATTAGTAATATTTACTCGATAAACCTATTTTGAGGAGATAGACAAATATAATGAAAAAAAATAAAATCACATTGAAACTCACTAATGTAATAAAAATATTTCTATTTAAACTCCTTTGTTTTTTTTTTATTTCTCTTTTTTCCTGTATAACTTATGTTTAATTTAGGTAATCCTTAAACAACATAAAATTTTTCATGTTTCCTCCTATAATGGTGAGCCTTTTGAGGTTTGTGACATGACAAACCTCGTTATCTTTATGTAATGGTGAGTTTTATTTTATATTATTTTCTGTGGCAAGCAGAAGTTGAATAATGAAAAATTGAAAGTTTTGGGGTGTTTCTCTCGTAATGGTGTGAGTTTGGTGTTTGAGGATTTTGACACGTTACAAACGCCATTATCTTCTACTATTGCCGTCATCTTCAAGTTAACAAATCCGAATTTTCTTAGAGGCAAGTGAAATTGACACATAAACTATTCCAATCCAAAAATTTAAATTATTTAATGAGGTTTTAAAAGTGATTTTATATTAATACTCTTTAACACATTCTTTTAAATGAGAATATTTTAAACTTAAAATTTATACAAACCTACTATTATCTTGTGCTTATGAAGAGAAATTAAATATGATAAAATTTGAAATCGTGATTGATTAATTATTAAGACTTTGATATTATGTCAAAAAATCATCTCAACTCAAAAATTTAAATTATTAGATGAGGCTTTAGAAATAATTTTATATTACTCTCTCATAGAAATATTCACTTAATTCTAAACCAAAAAACAGAAAAGATGACTACCTTTACATAGAAGTTGTTAGAAATAGTTAAGCTTAGAAAATTATTAAACCCTAAAAAAATAAAAATAAACAAAATTGTAAAAAGTTAAATTTATTGAAAAGTTACTAGGTTAGGTTTAATAATTTTAATGCTTATTTTATTAATTAACCTAGCACAATAATAGTTGTTATGGAAATAGCTTAAGAATTTCAAAACAACTGACAAGTAAAGAAATATAAAATTACAATTATAATAAATTACACAAAAAACACATAAGGAATTTATGTGATTCGACAATTTACACCCACTCTAGGGACGAGATGATCGGAGAAATCTATTATGTGGAACTCAACCATCGTAAGGTGTCATATAAAATTGCATCACAAAGTATAAAAGAATGAGCGCTAACAATAAGGCTTACTCTAAAATCAAACAAACGGACTGATCAACTGATAATGTTAGTCAAAATAAAGGCACTTGCAAGCACGAAGACGGAGAAAGGGTTAAAAATCTCTAAAATTCAAGTAGAAGGGTTGTGCAGCCAAGGTTGAGTAAAATAGCTGATATGACTAAAACTTGGAAGTAAAAGGGCACGTAGTAGTTTTTGGCCAATTTAGAACCATTTGATTCCTTATTTGTATGTCAGATTAATGTTCGTACTGATTGTCCAAATGTAGTATTAGCAATTTAGAAGAGATTGGTTTTTTTTTTTTTTTTTTGACAATTATAAACAGATTATATCTTTGTAAAACTACACCTTATTCCTCAACTAATATAAATATAAAAGTAATTGTAATTATCATCAAGGGATGTTGTCTAGCAGTAAACATGATTGTCTTGATTTGATCAAATTAAGATTTAATTCTCATTATTCATGGATAATTAGCCATAATTATTTCTTAGTGGTATTAGAATTGGGTTCATTTTGTCTAAAAGAGAGTTCGATAGTTGACTAAAAATTAAACATGTTGGTTTAGCCTAAAAAATAATAGACCGAGGGTGTGTTTGATAACCTATTTAATTAGTTTTAAAAAATAAGTTATAGTACTTAATATAAAATGTTTGTTTGATAATTTAAATAATTTCATATTTAAAATTTAAATTCAGCCAAAATCTATTTAGTTAGGTAAGTTAAAGTTTTTAACTTAAAACTTTTTTATTAACACGCTCAATTGAAAGATTTTTAAATTTTTTAAATATGACTATATCGCCTTTATATATTCTTATAATTGTAGCTACACAAATCAATTGAAAAACGATCTTTACTATCTCTAGTGTCAAAACCGAGTAGACTTTTTCATTATCGATGCTTCCATCCCATCATCGTCAACAAGTTACTAGTTAGAAAAAAACCAAGTAAGCATCTCAATTATAAAAGTGAATTTTCTTATGTTGTAAAGTGGTGTTAGTAAACCTTATTAAATTTTATACTAGCCTTGAAAGCTCTCGTTATTACCATTTTGCCACTCTAGTCTTTTCAGCTCCAAATCTCCTTGATTTATTCCATCTCTCACTAACCCACAAATCTCTTAAACTTACCTAACAATGCCATGCTCGCATTTTCTCTCTTGGTTTCACTTAAAACCCCCTTTTGGCCACAAAACTCATATATGCATATGTTATATTTGGTGTCCTAACTCAGTCCCATCTCATTTTTGACTCGCTCCAAATCAAGAGTGTTTATCTATGGAACTCATTGATTAATGGGTATGTGAAAAATCATGCTTATAGTGAAGCTTTTGGTTGGTTTTATCAAATGTACTACCATGGTGTTTTGTTTCATGATTATACCTTTGCAACAATGTCAAAAGTTTGCAGTGAGATTGGTGACTTGAATGCATGGAAATTGATTCATGAGAAAAGTTTAAAAATTGGATGTGTTTTGGATGTTATAGTTGCCAATTCTCTTATGTCAATGTATAGCAAATGTGGGAATTTGGAGAATGTTTAAAACTACTTGATGGAATGCCTTATAGAAATGTGGGTTCTTGGAATGTTGTTATATCAAGATATGCAAATTTATGGGATCGTAATTTTGATAAAGAGATGTTAGGTTTTGTTAAAGATATGCAAATTAAGGGTTAAAACCTGATGTATTTACGAGTTTCATGTATTTTGACTTTATGTATTAGGGATATGGGCAAAAGGGATTATAGCTAGGAGGGAGCTTCATGGGTTTACGGTGAGAAATGAATTGGGTTTGGGATTGGAATTTCATTTAGGATGTTGCTCGATGGATATGTATCCGAGGAGTAATAAAGTTGATGTGGGTAGAAAGGTGTTTGATAGAATGAAGAGTAGAAATGTTTATGCTTGGACAACAATGATCAATGGTTATGTGCGGAATGGAGCTCTAGAAGAAGGATTGGTTCTTTTTATTTTTAATTTTACGAGTTTGTGTATTTTAAATTAACTAATTTTATTTATTTATTTATAGGGTGACGTAGGTGCCCTTAATAGGACTTTAATTTGTGTTGTTATATCACTTGATCAACAAGTCCCATATCGAGGGAGAGAACGAGGAGATTGTTATAAAAATGTTCTTGCGATATGTGATTTTGACATGATTTTTACTTTTGTTTGGGCTGGATGGGGAGGTGTGGCACATATTTCAAGCGTATTAACGGAATAACTATGCGTGACTCATCAAATAATTTTTCCATCCCTCCACCTAGTAGTTGTTTCCATTCTTATTAAATTCTTTTTATAGGAAATTCCCCTCAAGTTTTTTTTTTTTTTTTAACTTTATTACTAGGTGTATTATGTCAATAATTTTTATATTTTTCATGCAATTTATTAGATTAATATTTGATAAAAAATAAATATTATCTTTGTGATACTGCATATGCACATACTAGAGGGTTTATGGTACCATATCGTAAGACACGATATTGTTTATCCGATTTTCGCAATGGTCATCATCCAAGATGAAAAGAAAAAGCATTTAATTATGCAATACATAACTATCTTCGAAGAACTATTGTTATCGATAAAGTTTTTGAATAATTTGATGGTAATTATGTGATGCATGAAATACCAAATGCTGCAGCAAATTACCATTCACTAGAAGAGAGGTGTAAGTATGAGCTGATCGAACATTTATGATTAATTTACGAGACCAAATCGCAAATGAATTGATTAGTACTTGAAATTTTATTTATTTTGTGCAGAATATTATAGTTAATGTTATCTTAACCCATGTTTAATTTTTTTTTTATCAATAATCATTTTTATTGAATATTTATTTATTTGTACACACACACACACACACACACACACACGTGTGTGTGTGTGTGTTAAAAAATATCATGTTACAATTATAAGGTTAAAATTATCATGTATATAGGCTTAATATATTCAGCAACAATACTTATAAAACAACTTTATTATATTTAATATTTAGTTTTCAATAAATTTCAAATAGTTTATCGACAACATATTCAAGTACATAATTATTTAGCACTTAAAACTCAAGCACTTAAAATTTAATACTTAACAAATTTAATATTTAATATTTAATTTTATCAAATATTACCTTGGTATATGTTGTGGAAAAAATATATTTTCCATTTTGTTGTGCTCATTACTCACTGTTAGAAAATAGTGACAGAATTTGGTATAGAACTTTCACACCTAATAGTGCAAAAGGGACATGTGAGGAATATCATGTGAGAAAATATATTATTAGTCGGCAGGTTTGTACTCCCACTTTTTTGTTCCATACTGCATTTTGTATCCTTGGTGCGTGAATGCATCTTCCGAAATTCAATGTAAAACATTCACACCTAACTTTTTTTAAAAAAAAAAAAAAAAACTGGGAATGTGAAATTTTAAAAGATTAAATAGAAAATACTAGTCTTAATTATAAAATTATAATAAAACTTATGAGGAAGTCATTTTTTCGAGATCTATCTATTTCTAAATTTCTTTAAAATTTCTCTATTGTTATTTTAGATTCGATTTGATTCAAACAAAGATATGGGTTTTGAAGGTTAAATAATACATAATCCAATAGCACAAAAACACAATAGGAAAATATGAAAAGAATAGATACCTCGAAAATAGGTAAACTCATCAACAGAGGGATAATTATTGACTCCCACATCCAAATCATTTAATAATTTATTAAATAATACATAATGCGATATCATAAGAACAAAAAAATAGAATATGAAAAGAATAAATGCCTTAAAAATAGCTAAACTCATAAACAGAGGATAAAGATCGAGTCCCACATCCAAATCATTATTTCCTTGACAGATATTTATCAAATTTAAAACCTAATTAAAAAAAAAATGATTCGGATTTTTTTTTCTGGAACCGAGAGATCCATGAATTAGCTATGGTTGAAAGACAATATGAAATAGACAAAATTACCCTTATTGCGTGGTTCATAAAGAATGTACTGCCCTAACATGAGCATTCTATTTTTCCCGGTTTTTTACTAAAAGCACGTTGTTCGTGTGCACTGTCTACTAATCAGTGTCCCACTTTGCATTATTGCCCAAATCATAATATTTTTAAACAGCAAGGATCAAACTATTGTTGAAAGGGAATTTAGGATGGACACAATTCCCTGTAAACATTGTAAACCAGAAAAACTTCCTCTAAGCAGACAAGAAAGACTAGACGGCCCAACAATCTATTGGCCAACCAATAAATTCCACATTTTCATCAGGTATAGATGGAAATAGAGCATATGTTTATCGTCAAGTATGGTAGCATCACAAGCGTAGATGGACTTGTTCGCAGCCTGTTTGGGTCCCAATAAGGTTGATTTTTCAAATGGACCCATTTTCACGTTGTATTCTAAAGCGACTGGTCTGCTATGCATTCGTGCAAGGTGTGTAGGAAGCTGAGGCGTAGGGCTATGAAGGGTAATAATCCCAAAGAACCTGGTTGAAGCATTTTTGAACTTTGCCTCATCAGGAGAAGGGAAATAAGCAAAAAGAAAAGGATTGCAGGATTTATAGCTACAATATTGATGTACGTACTTATAGAAAACCATGTAGTTTATTTATGATAGTAACCATAAGTTTTCGTCACCAAGTTATACAGACTATAAGTAGACGTGCCTAGTAATATTGGCAGGGAGTAGGAACAGAAGTGGTGCATTTTTCCTCCTCTAAATTATTATAACATTATAGATTTTGAACTACCAGTGAAAGAAAAGGAGAGGCTATGTACTTAGGAGCAGCATTTAGTTAACTTTTACATGGATCTTTGGTTCAATTTCTATCTCCAGTCCATCCTTGAAAATTGGAAATGGTTCTCTGGAAAAAGACATCCCTGGGCGACAGAGCTTCCATGTGAACCTGTTCACCAAGCGATGTATTGTAATAAGAGTTTCAAGTCTTGCAAATTCCATTCCAGGACATATTCGAGGCCCTCCTCCAATGCCACGAAACTATATGGAGGGACTGATCCTTGTATCTCGAAATGTTTTGGATCAAACTTGGATGCATCTGGGAATATATTGTCATCCATATGTGTCATGCTGGTTGACAACATTACCTGAATCAAAAAGTTGAAACTTAATACAAGATTTATTATATGTTGTGAAGTAATGTGATTAAGCATAGAATTGTCTCACACCTGCCATCCTTTGGGAATCAGATATCCTTCGTATTCAAAATCTTTTAGAACCTTCCTATAGAGAGTAAGCGCAGGAGGGGTCATCCTTAGAGACTCCATTGCAACTCTCCATGTGCATTTCATTCTTGCAAGATCATCCCATGTTAAAAGCTCACCACAGGCCTTACTCTTGGAAATCTCCTCTTGTTCTGCAGTCTCAAATTTTAGTAATTGCTTTGAATTTTTGCAATCTGTAGTTTCTATTGACTCAATTTAATTGCATACCTTGAATCATACTGGCATAAACAGATGGATCGTTGGCTGAAATTCTGATCAAGAAACTGAGAAGGGTTGAAGTTGTATCATAGCCTGCTATCATTATAAGCACAAGTGAATCAACAATCTCCTCATCAGATAATGCTACTGAATTGTCTTCGTTTCGGAGACTAAGCAAGGTCGTGATAAGATCTTGTTGAGGAAAGGCAGTTCCATGCTCCAGTGCAGCCCTCTTTTCTTGAATAAGATCCATGAGGATCGTTCTGATTTTTGCTCTAGCTTGTAGGCTCCGATTGAAGCGTGTGAAGGGCAAATTGATTGGTACAGATAAAATACCCTCCATTATTTTATCGAAGAGGTGTAAGAGTACGTCTCTTTTTGCACCTTGCTCTATTCCAATTAAAAGGGAGCTCATAACGTTGAAGGTAAGGGTCTTCATAGATGGCATTGCCTAGAGAAAAAAACAAAAAACAATCAGATATACAAGGAATACAAAAGGGCAAGAACACAACATATTTACTTGATATATAGTCAGTGGAAATTTTGATTGATTGATGAAATTCATATACCAAAACCTTGTTCTTGCCACGCCAATGCAACTCGAAATGTTTTCTAATTTCTTTATCCATCTTGCTAACATATTGCCTTAAAACATCAGGCTTTAAGAACGATAAGAGCGCTCCTCTCATACGCTTGTGGTCATGGCCACTTAATTCCAGGATATTCTTCTCACCGCAAATCCTTCTTATCGAAGATGGTTGCTGATTGGCAAGAATGTTGCCGTCGTAAGTGAAGACGAACTTGTTCGCTGCCTGTCCATGGAGGAACACGGTTGGGGTCCCAAGGATGTTCATTTTCGAAATAGGGCCATATTTTCTTATTCTATCTTGAAGCCATCCTTCGGCTGTGTTTTTGCGCAAGGCATTTAGAAAGCTGAGGCTTTGGCCTATGATGGGTAGACCCAAAGAACCTGGTGGAAGCCGTTTTGAAGTTTTTTCAGTCCAGAAAAGGTAGGCAGAGAAAAGGAAAACGAGCAAGCAGAACAAGATGTGAGTAACCATAGCTGCTGAAGATTGATGCAAGCACAACTATATGGGAGCTGGGAGACAATAATCCTACTTTTAGAAACTCAGATTTTTTTTCTTCTGGGAAAAAAGATTAGAGGGTTTTTAGTTATCCATGATCGTTGCTTGAGTTTTGAGCTCTTATCTTAATTGTTGGAGCGTAATATAAAACTAAGGTTATTATCCTCATTTGTCCTTATCTAATAAGTTAATTTTTTTAATCTATTCCTAAAAAAAAAATTCTAATTTATTTTTATATTTTGAACTGATTTCTAATATATCATTTTAATATAAATTTTTGACTAAATTAAATCAAATTAAGCATGTAATTTGTATATGGTATGTGGTTTGATAAATTTATCTTTGTTATTTGACACAAGTAATCTACTTCTACTAATAAGAAGATTGATTTTTGAAAATTGATCAAAAATTTTGACTAAAAATATAGATTAGAAACAAATTCAAAATATAATAATAGGTTGAAGACTTTTTTTTAGTAAATGATTGGAAAATTGTTCTATTATTTTAAGATAGGTGAGGATATTAACCCATAAAATTATTTTTAAAGCCTTAACAATTTAAATTTTTTGATTGTGATATTTTTAACATAATATAAGAGTTTTGATGACTAAATGGTCATGAGTTCAAATCTCATAATCGCTATTTTTTTTTATAATTAAACTCGAATCTCACCAATTCTAGTTTCTCTTTTAATTAAATAAAAAATAACAGTGAGATTGTACATATTTCAAGTCTAGAAAGTTTTCATTTAAAAAAAATATATTAAAAATAATATAAAATCATTCTTAAAATCTCGTCCGATAATTTATGCTTTACTTCAATATATATATATGTGGTGATCTTGCTAATTGTATGTTGATGTAAAAATTTTAAATTCAAAAAATTACTATTTTAAAAATTTATTAAAAATAATATAAAATTATTTTAAAAATATCATCTAATCATTTAAACTTTATCTCAATTATTGTGTGTCTACATGCAAGGTGATCTTTCTAGTTGTATGTCTACATGCAGATGTTTCTAATAATCTGACGCAACATTTTGTCTTTGTAGATGAACTTGATTAGTTCGATCGAATCTTTCCGAGCTGAAAAGCAGAAATCTTTTCAACTACAAGGCAAAGATGGACGGAATGGATGGCTCTAACGTAAGCATGATGCAGACCTATTTTAGCCGTCCATTCCCCATGAAGTGCATCATGGAATATGGATGGTTCAGCAGTAAAATGAAAATCACATCAAATATACTATTTCATACTTAATCTATTCAAATTCAAACTAATTAGATTCAAGAACTGGCTCCGATATAAATATAGTACTGTGCTGCTCTGCATAATATCTAGTTGGATTAATCCTCTTGTTGGCACTTTAAAATGGAATATGGATGGTTCTTTCCCGAAAATATCAAGTATTATTGGTGCAGGTGGTGTTTTACGGGATCATTATTAGAATTTTTTTTTAATGTATTTTTCAGTTTATGTGGAGATTGAAGATTTTAATAAAGTGGATGTGCTGATTATTCAAAAAACATTGAAAATCAGCACTGCTTCTCCTTTAGTTATTTAAGTCAATTAGATTATAGAGTCAAATTTGGCTGGATGAACATTTTTTTTTTGATAAACTTTGGAAGTTTCAGAGTAATTTTAATATTATTTCAAACTTGATTTTGTATTTAAAATCAGTTTTTTTCTACTATATTCTTAGAGAAAGAAATTAAGTCTAGTCACCATAAGTCCAATGAATTCTTGACTTGGTTGTATTCTCTTCTTTTGCTAGCTTTCTGCTAGCCTAATTCTATAATATAATCGTCAATTTTATTTTAAAAAATAAAAATAAAAATAAATTCATATTATTATAAACATCAACGGTCTATCACTTGTTAGATATTTGTAATAAAAAAAGTTACAAACCTATTCATAAACTACATAATTATAATCAGGGTCTAATAAACTCTTTTAATTCATAGGTAAGGATTAATCTATAAACTTAATTTACTTATAAGGACCAATCAAACCCCAGTTATTAACTTTTGGATCACAATCGGCACAACTCAATTTCCATAGCCCAAATCATAATATTTTTAAACAGAAAGGATCAAACTGTATTTTAGTCATCATCTTCCTTACATTTCCAGTACGTGCGGCCAAATACTGTAATCAAGTCCAATTTCACTGCACCAAGAGGAATTTGACATCATCGCAACATCAATATTCTCTCTGCTCTCTCGATATCTTTCTTTCCCTATTCATTTTAGCAAAAATCTTTAAAAAATAAAGAAAGAAAAAAAAAAATATATATATATATATATATATATATGCACTATTATTTTTATTATAAAAAAATCTCACTCTATTATAAATCAATTTAATCATATTGAATTTATAAGTTCATTTTTTATCACATGAAAATTAACATGGAGCTTGTTAAATAAATAAACATAGGAGGTAAATATATAATAAGAGTATGTATTGATAAAACTCATTAACTAATACGAGTTTACTTGTTTTTTTTTTTTTTTTTTTTTCATTCAAATTTTCACTAGCAAAATATTATAGATATGAATTTTTTATAGATATGAATTTCTTAAAATTATATTTTAATTTTATTTTTTATTATAATCTTTTATTTTGATTGTCGTTACACGATGTCGGACGGGACTCTAAAAAAAATCTAAGTTTTCGGAAGGTTTGCATCTTGTTTGTGGGTTATTCCGTAGATGCGAGCTATTTATGAGTTTGGAGTCGTCACTTAGTATTAAAGGAACTAACAACCTAAAAATAAGCACTGGTGCAAAGATTTTCGAGATAAGGATTTGGTTACGTTTTGGGAAGTTATTAATTATCCAAAACCACCCTTTCCTAAGAGAGGTACTACGTCTAGTTTAGTTCTAAATTCATTTCCTAAAGATATTTTATTTGTGTCAAGTTATTTTCGATTTAAACTCCAAATTTTACAAGTCAAATTAAGTTTTTTATTTTTAGGCATGATATTCTATTAAAACGATCGTCGATCCCTTTCGTTGGGTGACACGTCAATTCAAATATCGGATCCACTTTAAGTCTCGAAACAACCGAGTGTGTTAGAGAACATCTTGATTGATCTATGATTTGGTGGGGGAATTATTATTAGTCCTCAAGAATTAGGAGACTCGACAATTCATCCACCTATTAACTAAAGATTATTTATATTTTTAATGAAAAATCATCATGAGTCTTAATAATTAGGAGACTTGATAATTTATCCACCTATTAACTACTAAACTAATTTTGAAACAAAATTATAAAATTAACTATTAATTTTCCTTATTTTTTCCTTGTTTATCATTTTTATTTTATTTATTTTATTATTTTTTGATAAAAAAAACTATCTTAGTCCCTAAAAATTAGAGGACTTGATAATTTTTTTATCAAATAATTATCTAACCTAATGACTAAAATAAATTCAAAAATTGAAGGTTAATTAAATAAATTCTGAAGAAACACATCTAAAAAAAAATTAAATCTTAATTAATGTGAAAAGAAAAAAAAGATACATGGAGAAAAAAAATTCAGATTTAAATTATCTAGACAAAATCAAAACATGTGAAAAAATCTTATTGGGACCCAGGCCCATTGGCCTATGCTTTATCCTCTTCTACCTATTTCTTCTTCTTTTTTTCCTGTTTTTTTAATCTAACTGGACTAATTCTAGTTTCATGTCTTGAATTTTTTTTTTTTTTTGTTCAATGGCAGAAGCTTCTGCCTAGTTTCTTTTTTTCTTTGTTTTTTTTTTCTTGTTTTTTTTTAAAGCTAAGGCTAGGCTGAGCTGAAACCAGCCTAGCCTTTAGTTCAACATGTGTTGGGCTTGGCTTAACCCACACGTTTTTTTTTGTACTAAGCCAAGGTCCAAAAACAAAACCTATTTCTTTTTTATTCCTTCTCTCGATCAAACAATCTTCTCTCTCTCTCTCTCTCTCTTTTTCTCTAGTTCATCTTGTCGATTTTGGAACCAAGAACTTATTATGAAAAAAATGGAATGGAACATGCATTAGGATTACCTGAACAAATTAGAGGAATGAAGAATGATTTGCAGGACCTTGTGTTGTTATTATGTTGATTTTGGCTAAGGATCTGGAAGACTGTGACTCAATGATTGCATTGTCGTTGTTGAGTCTGGTGCTTCTAAATGTTTTGTAGCGTGCTTAAGACTGGAAAATAAGGATGGTGTTGTTATGGTGGATGATTGTGGGCTTGCGACAGGTTGTTTATGTGTTTGAATTTCGTAACCCAAACATGAAACTGACAGATGTTTATAGAAATGGATTCTTGATGTTTCTCAAATCCAAAATACTTAAATGAAACCAAGAAATTGAAGTCAAAACCTAGGAATTCGAAAACCACCCAGAAACTTCTGCTTAGGAATTTTCTTGAAGCTTGAAGAACAGTGAACAAAATGAGTTACCGCACAACAAATTTAAATGGAAACTACCAAAAAACTTTAAATTAAACCCCAAAAGTATGAAAAATGACTTGAACAACCTATGAAATTCAAATCTAAACCTAGAAAATGCAAGAAAACCCAAAAAATGGATCCCCACAGGCAAAGAGCACCTGCCCAGAAATGAAGAATAGATGAACACTATCTAGAACTTTCCTAGAAAAATGCAGCAACTGAAATTTCAAAAATCCTTCGAATTCTAACATTTTCTTGATTTTTGCTCTCTTTCAACCCAGAATTCTCCCCTTTCTTATTGCCCGTTCTTCCTGGCCAACTCAAGCTTTTAATAGGCATGAATTTGCTCGAATCTCTCCTCAAAATCAGTCAACTCAATCTCAAATTTCAGCTGTCAAATATCAATTTTGATATTTGATTAGCTAAAATAAGGAAACTGGATCAACGAGGCATGATTCTTGGCTGGTATCAATTCTAGCTAAGAATCATAGCAAATGCACTTCAAAAAAACATAATCAGTGGAAGATTTGGAAAGATTGCTGAAAG